AAGAAAGCTTAACCGAATAAGAACGTCTCGGGAAGTAAGGCTAAAAGAAGTTACGTAATGTCTAGGATAGGAAAGAAGTAGTCTATTAATATATTGAACTAGAATATACTAATATACTAATATACCGACCTATATTACTCTATACGGAAAGCCCATATAAGTATATAGCTACGCTTATTTCCCCTAGATAGTTTATACTCTCTTCGTAGCTAACTTATATTAACTATTAAACTTATAGTTCTTAGTAATAAGTGACTTCTTATACCTTACGTTCTTTCTAATTAATTCATACTATTAGAATTATTACTAGAAACCCTAACCTAGTTAGGCCCCGGTAGGAACCTTAATAATAAGACTTTTTAAGAGCTTAAGAAGCGCTTTAAAAGAGCCCCTCTACTCTATTATTACGATTTAGACCTAGAGATAAGAGTAAAGACCGATGCCTCTGGCAGTGAACTAGAAGATATATTATTTTAGAAGGTTACTATTCTCTCACCTAAAACGGATAAGAAATCTTTATTCGTTTAAAAACCTATAGTCTTTTACTTCCGTAAATATAAATCTAAGAAAATTCGGTACTCTACGAGTAACTAGAAAATACTAGCGATTATATATATATTTAAGGAATGAAGGCATTACCTAGAAGCCCCCTCTAAGATAGTGACTATAGTCACTAACTATAAAGCGCTAATTCACTTTATAAATATAAAGGTATTAGCTCGAAAGAGATAAATACGCTAAGTAGAAGACCTAGTAGTATTTAATTTTCGTATTAAATGGAGAGTAGATAAGAAAAACCCCGCTAATAACTTATCTAGAAGGCTTAATTATAAGCGAGTAATTTTAAGTGCTAATAAACAGAGCAATATACTATATAAACTTATAGCCCTACGCTTAGAGCCTTCACCCGAATCGGGTGGAGACGGTGAAGTACCGATATCGATTAGCGCTATTCGAATTACGGTATTAACGAGAGCGTAGTCGTTACGAAAAACGTATCTAAGGGATAGTGAATAGAATACTATTTTTAGCTTAATATCTTCTGCTAGCGAAGTAGAGCTAGAGTAGAAGAGCGATAAGTTAAATGAACTCATTAAGAACGATCGCCTAGTAAATATAAGCTAGGCGACCCCTAAAAGAGAAAGAGCGCCGACTTTCTTACCCGAATTAAGTGAGAGAGTAAATCTAGAAGCTTAGATTCGGGAGACGTAGAGTCTTAATCGGTTCGTGGACGCACGAATATAAATAATCTCCGTAGATAAAGAGTATTAGACACTAGATTAAGCGGGAATAGTTCGACGAAATGGACTTATTTATATTCCCAATAATTCAACGATTAAGGCTGAGATCCTAAGGATTAATTATAATAATTCTTAAGACGGGGGTCACTTTAGGCGAGCTAGAACGCTCGAAGTTATTCAGCGTTATTACTGATGGCCCAGGGTAAAGAGAGACGTTTACGAGTATATAGATACTTGTGATGTGTACTAAAGAATGAAGGTTCTAAGGTATAAGCCTTATGGAGAGCTAGTTCCTCTAGCTCCGCCGATGAAGCTCTAGTAAGGTATTACTATGGACTTCATCGTAGGGCTACCATCGTCTAAGTATCGGAATAGCGTCTACGACGCGGTGCTAGTAGTAGTAGATAGACACTTAAAAATAGTACGTCTTATTCTATATAAGTAAGATATAACGACCCAAGAATTAGGAACGGTCTTAATTAATGAAGTCTTCTCGAGATATAGAATACCTAAAACAATTATAAGTGATAGAGACTTCCTATTTACGTCGAAGTATTGAGAGACGATGTACTATTATCTCACGGTTAAGAGAAAGCTATTAACCGCTTTTTATCTATAGATAGACGGATAAATAGAGCGACTAAATTAAGTGCTTAAATACTACTTAAGATACTATTTAAATAACGAACAAAGTAACTAGGCTAAACTACTTAGCAGTACAGAATAAGCTATCAATAATAGCCGAAATAGTACGATTAATACTGTATCGTTTTAGATAGTGTATAACTATAAACCCAGTATAAAAAGAAATCTTAAAGGTTCTTATCTATCCGAATTAAATAGAAAGAAACCGCTCTTAATTCATAAGAGAGTAAGATAAAATACTGAGGAGGTTTTAGCTATACGAGCTCACTTACGAGAATTCTAGTAAAGAACGTAAGAAAAGATTAAAAGCTACTATAATTAGTACCGTAAGAATATAGAATTTATAGCGAGCGATCTAGTTATACTCTTAACGAAAAATATTAAGTTACGTAAAGCTAATAAGAAACTCTTTAATAAGTATATAGAGTCTTTCTACGTTAAATAACGAATAGATAAAAATATCTATTAACTTACTCTATCTAAGCGTTATAGACGAATTCATTTAATATTTTACGTTTCACTTCTTTAGACTTATTATTAACGCTAAGAAACTCTTTCTTCTTTATCTATTAATATAGATAAAGAGAAAGAGTTTAATGTAGAATAGATTCTAGACGCTTAAGGAAAGAAAGTAAGACAACGTTAGTTAATTAAATAACTAAGGTAGGGCTATAAACACAATATATAGAAATCTAAAAAATACTTCACCGGTGCCCTTATACGAAAAATAATTAGAGAGTTCGACGAAAAGTACGGCGTACGTACTTAATGAGAAATATCTCTTATCTAAATTGAGTGAGAGTATACTTAGTTTCATTATAAAGGACTACTTATAACCTACGCTACGTGAAGACGATATTCTTACAGATCGTTTTGAGAGTTCCGACCTACCTCTAAGAATAAATATTACTCTACTATCTATATATATTCTATATTTTAGGGAGATTCCGACCTACCTTCTAAGAATAATATTACTCTACTATTTACTTATATTCTATATAGCTCTAATATTAATACCATAAACGAGAAGAACGACGTCGTCTAGAGATATCGTTATCTTAGCGGCTATAGATCTAGAGACGTTCTTAATTTATATATTCAACCTATATTTTAGGGCCGCGAAGAGTAGCTAACTATATATTCGGTACTCTCTAGCGAGCGCGAACGGCGGCAGCGAAAGAGAAGAAAGAGATAATAGCCTTCTTTAAGATCGGCGAAGCCGAAGGAGAGAAGAGAGAAGAAGAGAAGTTACTAAAATAACTAGTACTCTAGTCTATTTTATTATTAGTAATTTTTTACTCGAATTAAATAAAAAGAATAAATATATCGAAACCCAAGCTAAAATTCTTCTCATCGTTATTAACGAAGATAGAAGAGACCGGGAGAGAGAAAACCACTATTCTAATTAGTATTATTTCTTTATCTCTTAATATTACTAATAAAAGGTAAAAACGTCTATTAAAACGTCTAGTAAATACTAAACCTCTCTAAGATCGAAGAGATCGGTATCGTCGCCAACCTTATAAGCACGGTTAACTTTTCGAAATATAGACTTAAGTCTCTATACTTAGAACTTAAGCTATTTCCTAAAATAAATATTAGTAATTCATTACTCGAATCGAGTAAGAAATATCTATATCTAATCGACTAAAATAGTCGAATCACTACTAATAACGAAAATTACTCTCTCGATGAGAGCTTAGAGAGTACGATAATCTATCTATAGATTAACGGAGATCTAATTCATTTAGTATACTATTAATCTTAGCTAAATTCTCACTTACGGTAACGTAGTCAGCGCTAGACCGGGAACGAGAGTAAAACCTACACGACTTAAACTAAGTTTAGTCGTAGAGCAAGATAGAAAAAACTAACTCCGAGTTAGAAGTAAACGGAGAATCCGTAAAACCGCGAAAAGCGCTTCTTTCGTCAGTACGCTATCATTATTCTAATATTATAGAACTCACAATTCTTATTAATAAGGCTAGCACCACAGCCTAACTAGGATTAAGTATTTAGCCGAACTTCCTCGTACGTAAGAGACTATATATATATTAGTAGCGTCTCTCACCCGAGTAAGGTAGATAATACTTACATATCTTATAGTTAATCTAAACGAGAAAGAAAGAGACGAAGAAGACTATAGTAAAGAGCTTAAGAATCAAAGTAAAGACTAAAGTGAATTAAACCTCACCCGTATTACTATAACAATATAAAACGACTATCTCACCTAAATCGAATAGGAATTTAATCACTTACTATTATTAGTGAATGACTATTTAACTACCATATCATTATCTTCGTCATTAACAATTAAGACGACCTATTCATACGATGAATTAAGGCTATCTTTATACTCGTAGCGACTCGAGGGCGAGCCGCTTTTTAGAGGAAGGGCAACTGTCACGAACTCACCGTTGTCCCTAAGTACTCTACGCTCTTCACCCGAATCGGGTGGACGGTATAGAAAGAAAAGAAAAGAATAAGATAAAGAACGGTTAAGGCACAAGGCTATCGGTTAACGCTGCCTTACCCTTTTTACGTGATAGAAAGAGGGGAAGCTATAAGAGTCTCCTCTCACCTAAATCGGCTGAGAGAGAACTCTTCCTTTTTCTCAAGCGTTGAGTCGTTGTCAATAGGGCTACGTGAATAGAACAAGGCATTCAGCTACTTCAATTCCTTTGTACCTACTGCGTTGCGTAGGTCCCTGATAGTTAAGCAAGCCAGCCCCGAGAAAACTGGCAATAATATCGGCTATTGACATGGCTGTCCACCAGAATCCTAGCCGAAGAGAGAGCTCACCGTGTTTGTAGAAATACGAGAGGTAGAGGATCATCTGGGGCGAAACATCAGTGTCCCTCCACCAAAGGAATAGGGAAACAATACATCGGGTATGAATCCACCTTGCAAAAGCGCAAGCAGAGCCCTGCAAGCAAGAAAACTTGCTCGGCCGGACAGCCAAAACTGTGAGCCAGCGACGATGGACCAAAGAATCATTTGAGTGGGTATCCAGCGGTCAGGGCCCATCCATTTCGAAATAAGTTGAGATGGCAGTTCGGCACAAAGGAAGCTAAGCTTGAAGACGGTGTTTCCCCAATTGTAGTCTGTACGCATTCAGCACATAATTCTTCGAAGCTGTGGACACAACGTACCGTTTGTGTCCATCCCCAGGTCGCCGAGGAAGTTGTCGGTGACCGCCTGGGTCAAGTTTGATCGGTCCAACTCCAAGGACATGAACATGACGCAAGCAAAGATCATGATCCGGATGTCAATTTTTCGCAGGACGGCGTACTCCTCCCGCCATGTCCATCTTGCCAAAGGATCGAATCGGCGGAGATTCTCCCAGTCAGCACGAGGCTGATAATGTTTGGCGGTTTCCGGGTCGTCAAATACAGATGGCAGCGTCGCGATGACGTCGGGGTCATAACCTCGACCTCTCTGCCACCAGAACCTTTTTTCATTGGCAGGGACACCGAGATTGAGTCCAGTAGCTGATACATGAACATTCTCCTTCGAATCAGATGGGCTGCGGCTGCTGGTTAATGTCCCCGTAGTGACAACGGCTCCCTCTTTCTCTTTCAGTGGAGGTTGAATAAAAACGGTGGCCATACTGGGAGCTTCAACGAGTAGAGTGTTTCCTTGACCCCGTCCGAAACTGGCCAGACGACGTGGTATTTGAACACATTGGAGGGGTCAGAGGCCTGCTGCACTCGGGCTGTCGGGGGGTGGTTACTTTGCAGACATCTGCATGATATAGCCGATCTTGGCTGTATTGCGACATTCCAACCGTACATCTTGCAACGCTGGTCCATGGATGACGGGGGCACGACATCTCCTGGGACCATTCCGTGATGCTGAGTTGATAAGGCACCAACTCTTAGAAGAGCTGGGTGTTTACCAAGCTGGGAATTCGCGTTCGCTTGGGTCCACCATGTGCAAGACTGGGAAGCGATCTGGGCCCTCGATGTTGCATATACGTGTGGGGGCACTGATGGCGATGTATTGCGGTCCCTCGCCTCTCGAACGAAGAAGAGCAACGAAACCTCTTTACCGATCGGGCCTGGCTGCGTCCTCCAGGCGAGTGACTCCCAGCCGCATGATGACTGGGCAATTGTTTGCCCGCGTCCAGCTGAACAAACTTCGTTCATCCCATTCGTCTTGTTGGAACAAGGGTGAACGGTCCTTATTTGAAGACCGCGAGCCGGGAGTAACTTGTCAAATCCCGCCCAGCCTCTGTCTTCTGGCGTAGATCCACACAAAGTCCCCCATAATTTCCCAAGCCGAGCCTCCCAATCTCGCCGAGACATCGGCTGGGGGGTGGATGAGGTGGAACTAAGCCCGAGTTGCAGAACGAGGTCGCTGCGAGCTCATGGGTAGAACAGCGGAGGCTCCAAACGCAGGGGTTTCTGTCATTTCGAATGCACGTCTCTCTTCGACGAGTTGGACAAATATCACCCAATCTTTCCAAAGCAGGAAAAGTGACATGCCGGCGGTAGTGGCGCGGTGTCATAGGTTTTTCTTCCTCCGCGTCAACACCCACATGCCCTTGGCTGCCGTCATGACCTTGCCGTCCTTGTCGATGATTTGAGCTTCCGATAGCCATCGGCGCTATTGTCTTCCCAGAGCCAGCACCTCACGAGCGACTCGTTTGACGTCGGTACTAGGGCATGTTACATGACGTTCAACCTAACGGTGAAGAACGAGTCTCACGGTCCGGAGGTTTCAGATGATGCAGCAGTACCCAGTATACAGAGTCCCACCATCTCGTCGAGGATGACGCAGACCATGCCGCCGTGGATCACCAAGTTTTGGCCATCGAGACCTGGCCGGCCGAGTTGGGGAAGTGTAATACAGTCGGAATCTTGTGGTACAAAAGGTACCCCCATCGTGACTGATTCTCAATTTCAATTGTCGCTTTGGTGAGTCTGATTTCAACGGGAAATCTTTTCTCTAAAGCATAACGAGATGAGGAATCATCGAGGCACTGCTCTGATCGGAGAGATGATCATTGGTTCATCCGACGGATACAAAGTGTCGAGGGGCGTCTTCGGGGACGCGGTTGCGTGGTGAAGAATATGGACATGAAGATCATCTGTTCCGTTGGTGGTGCCGTGACGATAGATCAAATCGTATTACCTGTTGGACACGGTCCACTGAGTCTCACACGAACACGAGGCAAGCTAGCGGGGCAGATCTCTCGAGCTCTGTCTCTTAATCGTGTCCGTGCTCTTGACCAAATTTAGTCTAGAGCATCAGCAAAGTTGACCCTCGGTGGGACTAAATCGCTGCCCCAATAACACTTCCAGGGAACTTCTATCTTACGCATAGTCCCGATCAGCAGCAAAGAACAGCAACAGCATGCCATAGTTGTTGATCACCTCTTGTCTTGAACGAGAGCTCCTGTGGTGGCTTACCACCGACTCGTCTTCAAGGCTGGTGGTCATAAGGTATTCAGAATAGAAAGAGGGCCCCCTTTGAGTGTTGTGTGGTGTTTGCGATGCTCTCTGAGCGCAATGGAAGAGCATCGGTTCAGGATTTGCATCATGAATATCCAAGCACTCGGGCCCAAAGTCGGTGGACGTGAAGGCATGGCTCGAGGGAGCCTATATCTCCAATTATCCTTGCAAGTCCTGCCTGCACGCTTATCAAAATTCCGGAGCCTGACGTTCTTTCGTGGTCCTCTCGATCCTGCAAGCCCTGTGAATCGAGTAGGGTGTTAGGAATGAGCATCAAAGGCATCTGTCTTTGCTCAAAGATCTCTGCATCATTGGAATTGGACCCGTGGAAGATCTCGATGTCAAAATCGTTCCCGGCCTTGTTCAAAAAGAACAAACTGAATACATCCATCCTTTGGCGAATTCGTCCGATTTCAAAAACGGCACAGAGCAGCATTGATTGCGAAATGGTAACGTGAGCCCCGCAGAATTTCGAAGATATCTCCTCTTCTGCAGAAGTCGCGAACAACGAAGCCAGCGCTTTGATATTCTGGTCTGCAGACATCAAGGCACCGCGAGAACACACGGCATACAAAAGGGCCGAAGCGAAATGTTCACCTGCTGCACCTCCGCCAGAATGTTCCCTCAGGAAACTCTCTCGATCAATCATATTGCATGCAATACGGAAATTGCCACTCGAAGAACAGGTTTGACGCAGTCATGCAGCACGTTCACAGGGACATCTGGGATTCGGGAAAGCTTGATGATCCAATAATTTACTCCCTGGCTCACAAAGGCGGAACAGGCCTGTGCTAAATGCACTGCCAGGGCCATAAAAAAAATGCAGACCCTACGCTACGAATAAGTCGCGATCTCCTGAGATTATAGGAGGACAAACCGTGTCCGTCATGACCCCAATAGCCTCCCATGCTCTGTAGGAATAGGTCGTCGGTATGGACTCAGGCCTGAGCATTGTCTGTCATGGTAGGTTGATTGTCGACAATGTCGATATTCTCAATAATAATCTCCCGCCCATACCCATGGGATGATTTGACGCTTGACAGGAGGGACTCCAGTGCTGCTATCCTACCGTTGAGTGCAGCAACGTGCTTGCGCGAGATTGGAGTTCGTTTCCCGTTATTGGCGCGGAATTCGCAGTCAGCACCAGCAATGGAGCAGCTACGGCAAGGCATTGTCCGAGAACATTTGATCTGTATGCCAGTAAGATCAACTTGAATCAGTTAAAGTAAGCGAAGACACACTTTGCGAGTCTAGCAGCGCTTGCAACTGCAATTAGTATTTTTCCCAGCTCCTGCAATCCCAGGAATATTAAGAACAGCGCTTCATGACTTAAGATATTCTCTTCTCGCCAGGTCGAAGCATATTTTTCTCTCCCTTCAGAGATACTTGGCGTGTGTGGGCTAGACGTCGACGGATTTGGACAACTGGTAGAGGACGAAACGTCCTGAAAATGTTTATTCACGTGCCGATGAGCACGCAATCTTTGTAGTTGCTGATAGTGTTAAGGTCTAATAACCGCCAAGTAATTGCCATGGACAGAACTCGCCGCCATCGAGGTACCTTGGACATAGTCCGAGATAGGCCTTACCGATAAGCATGAGTTTCATATCATCAATGAAGAGACAGCACTCATCCAGATCTACCATCCTATACCCTACAATTTGACAGCTTACGGAATCAGCAAGGAGCAGCAATGGATTGTCGATGCAAAATTCCAAGGTCCATATATCTGCCTTGATGGCGGACCATGCTGACTTGGCTAGAACTCGACATCGAGACAGGCAGCGTGTTGTTCGAATGGAGCAGCCTTGACCACGTAGACCCATCGGGTAAGTAGTCCCTCGAATGCGACAGTAACGCTGAACAACTGCAGGGGCCTACCTTCCCTTGAATCCTGATCAAGCTGGGGCTGGATCCAATAGCTCGGACGCCTGGGACTATTTCCACATCAACTCCGTTGACAAGGACGACCAAGGGAACTACCTGATCTCCGCCCGCGATGCCAACGCCGTGTACAAGATTAATGGAGCAACCGACGAAATCATCTGGCAACTATCTGGGAAGTCGTCGAGCTTCACGATGGGTGATCAAGTCGAGTTTGCGTTTCAGCATCACGCCCGCTTCTTGTCCCGTAACGAAAACGACACTATAGAAGTCATCAGTCTGTACGACATCTCGGCTCATGGGACAGAAAATGGTCACGGGCATGAAGTCTACTTCTACAACATCGGTCATCAGGCCGGAGGTCATGCTCCATCAGTATAAAGCGAATGATCGGAGAGAGAAGACGGAGAAAGATTCTCTCTTCACTTGGCCAGGGTTGGAGCATCAGAAGTCTACCGTGTCTGGTCGTGCGATGCACAAGGGAATTGTAGGCAACAGCGAGTGACAGAGAGTACTCAGTAAGGCTCAGTTCGGGTCACTTAGCTCATGTTAAAGGGAATCTCGCTCCCTCTCTAGGATCAAACAGTATTTACCACATCGGTTATTTGTTTGAGAGTAATCTAGGTAGTACTACTCAATACACTTAATGCTAGGTAAGGTAACGAGTATATATATGGTCATATCACACCTTACAGTTCAGCTTCCATCTTGTCCAGAATGGTAAAAGATTGGGAAGTGTATGCCACCAATTTAATGGGCATGGGCATGGGCATTCTCATGATTGTGTGGATGAAGTGAACCTGTTGGCTCCTTTCAGCAACATCTTTTGCTTTTGCGTTTATCCTGATCGATCCTTCATTAGACACCTCAGAAACTTGAGGTCTAAATGTCTCTTTTGCGAGGGGTTGATTTACAATCAGGAGCCTAGTTGCAATGCTGATGGAGGCCTCATCTGGCTCTTCCAAAACCAGCCTCGCAGCTTCACATCTGTTTCAGCTATCTCGGTCTCAGGGAACTAGGCTATCCCGGCCCCTAGCCAGTGCTGCCTGCGTTTGCTGCCTTTCAGGCTGCAACATGAACAAACTTAGCCGCGCGCTCCTCCAACAATCCATAGTTGCAAGTGCAGAATTCTCATCCACAGTCTTGATACCATCGCAGAACATTCAGTCAGAGTACGAATGCATTTACGACTACACAACTGGAACATGAAGTATTCTACCATCGATCGTAGTGTGTACGGGATCAAGATCAGATCCACACCGCAGGCGTCCATCGGCGGGGAGGCAAGTGAGAAGAAAACCGGGGACAAAGCCTCTGACGATGACAGCCACAACTGTTCATCGGCGCAGCCATCCTCGGCCTCATCTACTCCCCTTCACAGTGCATCCAACACTGGTCAAAGTATTACACAGTTTGTCGAAAGGACTCACAACGGAGGAGTCTCTCATGAGCTGCCTTCCCCATTGACGACCACTGCTACTTTATCGTCCACGGTGGCCCCTCATCCACCAACCAGTGAGCGCGCCTCTATACATCAGCAGGAAAAGATTAAAACACGAAAGGAGCGATTAGCAGAAAGTCGAAAGCGCAGGAGAAGGGAAAACGTTGCCAGGAAAGTTGGTCATGACGTGGATTCTGATGAAGAACGAGAGTATTGGCGAGCGGTTTTTAACCGTCATGCCGCGGAGGAGGCCCGTCGACAGGCACTCTCTCCTGAAGCACGAAGGCAGGAGGACATTCAGCGTTCAGCGGAGGTCCTCCGAAACCACATCAAGCCCCAATTAACGCTCGACAGCTCTGGCTCTGGCCGCCTGCGCTATTATCCCCTATTTCTGTTTCAGGAGGCACCCGACTCGCGCAACGGAGCGACTTGCAGGCTCGATCATTGCACCGATCGCATTACCCCAGGCCAATACAGGATCGCATTGTCTCCGGGGATTTGGGATTCGAGAGGTCCAGGTAAGATTTAATCCCTACTGAATCTACGCGTCTACTCGGCAGTTCAAGAGGTCTTCTTAGAGCCCTTCGGCTCAATCATACCTGTTGGCCGAGTAGGGCAATGTAGTCTTATCCCACTCGCCCAAACAATATGTCGTGGTGCTCATTTCATGCTTCCTTTGTTCTAGAATTACTAGCGTCGCTCAGAGCCAGCCTACTAGTTATACTGATTTACTATAGACTTTTACCACGTTAAATGCTTTGAACAACTACTGGACTTATCGTCGCCACACTACGCGGCTCGCTTTGAGCCTGATATGCGGAAACACATACCCGACCATGGCGCCCAATGTATTCTAGAAGAGTACATTTCTAGATGGAAGCTTCGGACTCAGCAAACCCCTAAGCATGAGGAGGATCCACGATCCTCCCCCAGCGCAGAACATATTACAGCAGTGAGCTCGAGTACACAAATAAACTCAGCAACGGCAAATGAAAACGCAAATCCAACAGAACAGCAAGTACCTTCTCCAAAAGCACATACTGGGTCGGCAGCGCCAGAACAGATCCCTGTTGCATCAGACGAAAACCCAATGCAAACACCGTCTGCCTGTGAAACAGCCGCTCAATCACCATCGGCCTCAGAGCAGACTGTTGAACCCGACGTTTGGCACATGGCGGACGTGCTTTGGGCCCAGGTACGTCAAGCCGAAGCCGAAGCCTCTCGGGAGCATAATAGGATATGTGGTAAGTGTTCCTTCCGATCCATCTTCGAGAATTATAATTGGTGTTCTTTGCGAGATCGGCATCGCACCCAACATATATTCCTTGGGTCGGTAGGGTCTGAGAGATCCTCGCTGATAGACGGCGTCTGTAGATCTTCTTCTCCACATAGACAACCCAGACGATGTGGCCAACCCACTCCCAGACCAAGATCGGACTTGGCACATCACGCAGTACCTTCTCCCTGATGACGACCCGGATTATGACGAACGTCACGCACTTAGTCAGGCGTTGGAAGACTGGAGTTTGGACATTGTGAGTGAGCTCAAAGCACTGGGATCAGCTTCCTTTGCTCTTGGCCAGTAACTCTCTGGCACTCCTGCTCACAGCTGAGCTTAGTACCTCTGACTGGATCCCACGCTGACAATGTGATATCGCTACAGATGTTGGCAAACGAAGACATGAGCAAACTGACCGAAGCAGGACGTGCGGCGAAGGAAGCGCTAGGTGAGCGAACGGTCAAAAGGATCAAAAGGTATCAGTGTGTACGGATGCCAGATTATCAGTCTCTCTTCTTTGGCCGCCGGTAGATACTCGCATGATCTGCAATTCTGCACCGAATTCGGGCTCGCATGAGAGGGAGATCGTTATCGATCATATATGTACCTCGTACTCAATCACGTTTGAAAAGCAACACGCAAAAACGCAGACATCTCCAAAGAACGGGCTTCCACAATTTCAATTGCTGTTCGGTCATTCGCTGGTTTTCACTTAAGCTCTCACTACTGTGCTACCACCTATTGCGCGTAGATGGTAACGAGAGGTCAGCGTTCAAGGAAGCGGCAGACTTACTCGCTGTCTTCGATCCTGAGGGATGGACGGCTACATATAGATGCAACGAGATACGATCGACAAATCGTCATACCTATTGAGCCAGAGAGAGAGGAGAAGGCTGTCCGGACAGGAAGCCACAAGCGGAGCGTTCGCGGCCATTGTGATGCCTGGGTCATTCCTCTTCACGCCTCAGGTGTGAGCAAGCCGCATTCCGTCTAGGGTGAAGTGAATGGTTGGGCCAGGAGCTTATTGGTTATGCTCTGATGTCGACACAGTATGCATCGATCAGAACGACCTGCATGAGAAGACAAGTCAGATACGCAAGATAGAATCCATTTCTGGATGGCTCTCTCGTTCCTCGCGGGCCTGGACGACGACGAGGCAAGTCTCGCAGACGCCAGTCTGCAGCAGATCGTGCAGAACAGACACTAAGGCTGTTGTCGATGTCATGAGTGTGCTCTAGACCTCGGGCTCCGAAAAATCCAAGGAACAGCTCGGGAAGTGGGCAGCATTTTACAAGTTCATCTCGCACCCTTACTAGCACCGCCTGTAGATTCTTCAAGAACTGCCCCCGAGCAACCCTCTCAATGAGGTCCTGAAGCTTGGCCGAGACTCGTCATCACAGAATGATATCGCAAATAAAGGACAAAGTCTACGGTGTTCTGGGAGTCGTCGCGACGACCGTCGAGTAGCGGATTTTGGTCGACTATCACCTCCCACTCTCGGTGAGTCTGAAACAGTTCACCAAGGCTGTTGCAGGAGCCCACGGGGTCACTCGACATCCTGAGTCCGATGAATTCGGGTCTCGTATTCTTTGTGCAGTTGGGATTTTCACAGACAGACGGCTTCCTTGGTGGTCGATTTTGCATCTCCCCAATCTCCAGGTGCCCTTCTCGACATGATCCCCGACAACGCGTCCAAAAATGTAGGTATCAACGGTGGTCTTTGCTGATGGTAACCAGATTCTCATTTACTCTGGCTTCGTTTTCGACGCGATCGATGTCTGAGCTGCTCGATCAGGGGTCGTGTGGATTATCAATCCACCGGTACCGTCCAAGAGAAGGTACAGCATCTACGGCTCTGTCACCAACACGGCCGAAGCAATCCTGAAGGCATTCCTGGCACTGGCATTGCCGCGAGAGAAGAAATGGATCACAATTCTACAAAAGTAAACACTAAACCGACGGGAGTTGCAGGAGAAGCCGGCCCCCAGCGGACCAAAAGGGTCCACTATGGCTGTGGCTCAAGGGTTTCGTTATCGAAATTGACATTTAGATGTGCTGGGTCACGGTATCATGAATTGGCACTGGGCTGGGTCCACCAAACTCATCAACCGGGGGCTTGCATTTCTCCGAGGAGCTCAACGATGTGGGCGAGGTCTTTGGGATGACTGTCAACACCATGCAAACGCGAAAATGTTGATAACGGAAACCGGGCGTGTGGTCTGGACCATCATGTGCACCCAGCAGGGCGACGTGATTGCGCTCGTCAGGGGTTGCGATGCGCTGCTGGTTCTGAGGCCGAAGGGAGAGTGCCACGTCGTCGTGGGCGAGTGCTACTTACAAGGCGTGATGGGCGGCGAAGCCATGGCATGGCTTGATTCTGGTAGGTGCAGTTCTAGAAGTATAAAGCTCTGCTGATCTCGACGACGACTCAGCTCTGGCAGTTTACATGGAGAGCGATGTTTTTTGAAGGATTTGGTGTTGGAGAAAAGATGGGCGGTGGAGATTGAAGACATCGACTTCAGCCTTCCCTTGTCTGATGGCTCGCCTTGCCAGGCAACACCTTTATTCCTGCCTTGCCACTGCCGCTACAAGCGAGGCCCGAAACAGACCGAAGGCTCGGGCTTTTGTAACCAGTACTGTGCGGCTGCACGTTTCTACAATCGCTGCCTCCCGCACAGCCACAGCCACAGCATGCGCTCTTCCAACCTTCCTTCCAACGATCTCCGTCACTGGCCCTGTCGATAAGGTTGGTGCCTGAAGGCCCTAGGACATTTCGAGACCGCGAGGGCGCCCCCGATTGCTCCGAAACTATGTGGCGGTGCCTGAACTCCCTTGGAGCGACCTAGAACGAAGGAACCAGCTTATCCGTGCATACGACGCTTGCCTGCATGCAGATGATTCTGCGGAAGGTTACGAGGAATGTGCCGGGCCAAAAAAACGCGAGTGCCTAATCCATTCGATCATTCGAGAGAGCATGTGGTTCTTTTTCGTTGAGGTTGTGGCTTCTCTTGCTTGCCTCTCTCTGCCGCCAATGGTCCAAGAGTAATGTTATGTGTTTATTATATCCAGCGTGCTGACTGTTTTGCGATCATTGTATTCCTATCACAGAAGCATTGTAATCAGGTCTGCCAGTTGTCATAGAAAGCGAAGATCACACCACTCGACCCCGGGAGTTGTTGAGCTGCCACCACTATCTGTTACTTGTTCCCAGGGTGTTTTTCTTACGCATTGAGCCTATCCCATCTCCGCATCGCACGCAGTACTATACGATTGATTTTGAACGGAGAAGAAAAAGAAAAATAGATGGCTTCTTCAGAGAAAAGAAGTCTACAGAGTACCGCCGCCGTGGGCTCGTCTTCGACACCAACGGACCTGCCGCCCTCATACGAACATACAGTCCTTCCCAACTCCAACCCTTGGACCGACAGTCCATCATCGCAGAGTCAACCTCCTCAACAGCCTGCATCATCAACAACACCCCTCTCCATCCCCTCACAGAACCCGCTCTCGGCACTGTCCCGGTTAACGACAGTCTCGTTCGTGAAATACCGGATCCGCGACTCCAAACTGTCAGAGGACCAGACCGTCACCACGACCACCAACCCGGAACTGACGTCTAGTTCACACTCGTCGTCGACCTCTCAAAAACAGCAAAAGACGCTCCTAAGGTTCATTCGCGAGCAGGCATGTCTGCCGCCAAAGCCGATCATGGTGATCCGGGGCACCCACGTCCACGTCAACACGGTCGTGGATTTCGACTTGAAGATCAACCTGACGAGTATGTTGGATTTGGACTGGGGAGGTACGGAGAGTGGCGGGGGCCGTCTCAAGGTCAAGCGGTATCAGCATGGGTCGTCCAATGGGTCGCCGAAGCAGATGACCAGGGAGGAGATGAATATGTCCCCCCTCGAGCTGTGGGCAAAGAAGTTTTGTGAAGATAAGGCTGAGAATCGAAGGTGAGTGCATGGGTTGGTTGTTGCTTTTTCTTTGCCAGGCTCCTCCTTGATCCCGTCACCTTCGTTTCGCAAACTCGATACCCACGGCAACTTACCTCCTTGATCCACTATATAGCCATCTACCTATGACCAAACCCAGCTAACCACTCACCTCCTGATTTAGCTTCGCACTCCACCGCTCGACGCCGAACCTCCCGACCGCCCTGCTCGAGGGCCACGTGCGGACCCTCCTGGCCCTGATGAAATACCGGGGCAAACTGCACGTGGAATTCCCGGTGCAGTACTCGGACGTGGTGATCCAACGCAAGTCGAGCAATTGGTTCACCAACATCCTTCGCCTCTACCCGACCAAGAAATACGAGGTCGTCGACGTCGAGTGGCCCGTCGTCGGCACGACCACGGCCACGACCACCGACCACGAGTGCCAAACAGACACCGCCGACGAAACAGCTGTAACAACATCAGCAGGAGCAGGACCGAACGCCTCGTCATCATCACCGACATCATCTAGAACCGCGACCGCGCCCGCGCCCGCGCCCACCGAACCCGCCTCCTCAGCATCCTCCACCTCCACCAGCGGTGGCGGCGGCCCGGGGGACGGAGATGCCACCGCCAGCGACCGGACCGGCCTGCCCTCGCTGATCGCTCAGGAATGGTGGCGCGAGTGGCAGTTTGCAATCCGCATCGCCGTCCTCTCCGGCCGGAGAGGCTGGGTCACGGTGGAGGACTGGGTCGAGGCCAAGATGGGCATGAGGGAGAAGGAGAGGGCGAAGGAGTGGGGTGGCGATTACGAGTGAGTGCGGGAGCCAGTGTGCGAATACTAACATGTGCGGATTTGATGAAATGGACCCGATGGGCCGGGAAAAGGGGGAAAACAAGGGATGGGCATGAAAACTGCGAGTTCATCTATGAGTGTAAAATACCTGTCCACGAGCAAGAGCAGGAGCAAGCGAGTTTGTTTTCCGTCTTGCTATTTTCTTCGTCCCTGCTTTTTTTTATGGGCATCGTTCGTTCTGGTTATTAACTGATCACTTGGCCAATTGAGACATGGATATATGGATGTCTGTATGGATGCATACATATATGGAACACAGGGAGACACATGTAGTCGCACACGGTCGGAATTGGAACACATGTGGATACGTGAATGGGATTTAGGGACTACAAATGAAAAGAAGAACCTCTTTCGGGTCTCAATGACCATCTATATAGCTATACCTGAATGAGCTGAATGGACCAACTGCCCCTGACTATTACTCACATATAAACACTCTGTACACATCCTCAACCACTTATTCGTACCTATTACCAATACCTCGTAACGAACCCAAAGCGAACCCAGGTACCTCGAACAATACACCGCTGAGAAGAATCGCGTTGCTCTCTCCTCTCTCTCTCTTTCTCTCTCAGTCTCTCACTCTCTCACACACACATTCTTTTAAGATTAAACAGGATAAAGCAGACAGACACACTCTCCCTCTTCCTGCCTTCTCCTCTAAGAGGAAATAGTAGAACCATAAAGGGTTGAGATGGAATATGCCGCCCTTTATACCAGTATATAGATAGATATAGATAGATAGATATATGACTTGATCGTGTCTGGCCTACCTATTCTATTTGGTCATGGCCTCCACAGTCGTGCGCGGGGCGTGCTGCTGTGGTGTGAGTTAGTGCGTTTGGGATTTGCCACGTAGAGAGAACGGACAACCATCTTGCGGTTACGGGGTAATTTGCATTTGCTATGACTTTGCTTTGCTATGGAGCTGTTATGGCTACGGGAGCTGCTTTGCCGATGGCATGGCTATGGCACTGGCTCTTGCTCTGGGTCCGGCTCTAGCTTTCGTGCCTTCCTTCCTATGTTTCCAATGTCTCCAAGCCTTGCTAGAAGTAATGTCACCGATAGCCCTGCTCAGCATCTATGTATCTGCTCATGATTGATGAACTGGAGGACCGATGGGGTGCTCCCAAGGTGACCGCTGCTCCAGGGCGCTGCTCGCAACTATGCTGAGTTTGTTTCTTCTGAGTGTTCTTGGCCTTATCAACTAAATTGCCGTGGTGACGGATTCACGCCGCAGGTGATGGTGATGGTGATGGTGATGGTGCTTGCTGCTGCCATCTACTCGAGCGCATCGTCCGGCAAGGACTCTTCCGAATCCTCCCATTCGTCATCCGCGTCCGTCTGTACACCGGGGGGATGCTCCTGGACGCCCAGGACGCCGTCGCCGTCATTGTCGCCATCTGTTGGTGGCTCAAACAGCCTGACTCGAAAAGACTCGACAAGTCTTTTATACCAGGTCTTATCCGACGCGTATGGACCGTCCTCCGAGAACTCAGGCTGCAATTTCTTTAGCCAGTTCTTGCCCGAGGTCTCCATTTCATCCATCTCTTCGACACCGTCAGCCTTGAAGCCCGTAACCGCGGCCTTCAGACCTCCATTTTCCTTGGCCATCGCAGCGAACTCATCTGCTGTCATGGTCTTCACAACTCCTCCCTGTTCCTCCGTCAGGATCTTCAAGGCATGGGCCTGGACAGACAAGAATGGTGCCATTCGGAATTGGTTGTTTCCCCAATCGAGGAGGACCCAGACTGTGTCGAAGGCGGGTTTTGGCGGCTCGTCAATTTTCTCGGCACGACTGAGGGGAATGGCTGGAGCATATGGGTTGGGGAGTTCAGAGGTTTCGAGCGCTTGGATTTGTCCAGCAGGATTGGTGGGAATGGCTGGAGCATGTAGACTCGGGACTGAGGCGAAGGCTTGTTGAGTAGCGACGATGGCTTGTCCAGCAGACATATCTCCAGCGGAGATGAGGGCTTGTCCAGCAGCGTAGAGGGGGTGAATTTGTCCTGCAGAGGAGAGGGCTGGGGCTTCAGCAGAAGCGAAGGGTTGAGGTTGTCCAGCAGTGGCTGATGTGTCTGGAAGGTTGAGTCTACGAAACCACCTCCCCTTCACCTCGTAGGGAGTTCGAGCAAGCCCTTCACATGGGTTGAAGATGGCTTTCTCTCTGTTCAGAAGCATGAGCTTCCTGGCTTCCTCACTCTTGATGATGATGATCGGCTTTCCAGTCTTGACACAAAACTCCCTGGCATAGATGGGACTGAAGAGAATACATCTCAACCAGGCGCCATTAATCACAAGCTCCGCATCCGGTCCTCCTTGGTTCGCCCTGAAATCGGCGCGAGACTGAGTGTAGATGTTAAAAAACTCCTCTCGACACATGGGGCATCGCAACACACGATTGCGGACAACGTCGAGCTCTTGGTTGATCCAGTCCATGAGGCAGGTCGCGGGCCAGCTGTTCCTACAACTGTTGCTAGTGCCGACATGGGTAAGGATTTGAACGTTTGATGCCACAGGTCCTCTACACCAGATACAGGTGTCGTGTTCTCGGGGACCGCGCCCGCGCCCCTGTTCCCAGCCGGACTGGTAGAGAGCGAGCAGACGAACGAGATTGTTTCGGTCGTTGAGGTCAACATCGGGGTGGATGGTTTCTGGATCAGGTTCCATGAAGCGGGCCATGCTTGTCTTTCCGTCGTTGTCATTCCAGGACGTCGATGCTGGTGGTGATCCTGAGCTCACAGAGTCCTTGTCGGCTTGGGCTTCGGTCTTGGTTTGTGCTTCAGTCGACGGAGACAACGTCTTGGTCGTCTTGGTATCGGACACAGGAGACGTCGGTGGCGACTTGCCCTCGGCCACAACGTCCGAATCCGCCATGGTTGTGAGCGATAAATCGGGATCGTCCGTTGCCATGAGAAGAGACCAAAGAGACCAAAGATGAAACAAAAATAAAGAAAGATCTCTGTGGCGCGGCTGGGTTGCTGTTCGATCCTCCCAAGTCCCCAGCCGCGTGTGGTTGAGGCTAAGTAAGGAGGGGCACAGCCGCCCAAGATGCGAAATGCGAAATGGCTGGCAATTGCAATACAAACCAGGCGCCTGCTAAACCTCTCCAAACCCTGCAATCTGGTTGGTTTACAGCCCTGGACAAGACAAGTACTTGCTTGGATACTAATTCTTTGTGTGTGATGTTATCTGTGACCAAGACCAGCCCAAGGCAACAAGGAAATGTTAAGATCCACATGCATGTGGTGAAGTGGGTATCTTGTCTGCCCGGAAAAAAAAAAGGCCCTTTCCTTCCTCTCATACTGAGTATGGGCCTATATAAAGGCCCAGATTACTGTGTCGAGAATAGATGCGACACCAACCCAAGGTCCGACTTCCCCTGATAGGCAAGTAAGGAGCAGACTCTGGTCGTCTCATCATTCGACCAAGACATTACAGCGACCAGGCGATTACCATAAAGAATCTCGTATTGGGCCTGTCCTGAGAGATGGAAGGCAGCCAATTCGACAGTTTGAAATGTTATTCGATGTGCATTCTGAAGCCATGACCTGACGAAGGCCATGCCGCACGACCATGACACAATGTGGTCGACCTCTGCTTCAGTGCTCGTCCAGAAGGGGGGCTCGTTCTCGATCCTCGCTGACAATTGCACCCTCTTGGCGAGCACTGCGATCTGCTCCAAAGAGCTTCGGAGCTCCCACTGCCAGGGAGAGAACGAAAAGGACACCGGCGATGACGAAAGCAAAGATCCACTGGAAAGCCACAACCTTTGTAGCAAGTTGGCCCAGTGCAAGTGCTATTTGATGTAGTGTTAGCCCAAAAAAGGATTTGAAAAATAGTATGGTGAAGCTCACACAGGGCGAGAATAGCCAACTCAAAACCCATGGTATAGTCTTTGAAGACCGCGAGGAAGAAGGCGCCCAGCATAAGAATGCCCCAAATAAAGATGTTGGCGACAATCCGAGCAGGCAGCTTGGTGGCGCCGGGGACCATCGCAGCTCCATTCCAGAAGATTGCGACATAGTTCCAGGCCAAGGGTGCAGAAACTATCGGAATGTGGATGATCAAGGGAGTGGTTGGGTGGCCAAAGTAGAGAGCTGTCAGGTTGAAGAGGTTGACAATGAGAAGGAGCTCGCCCTGCCAGAAGTACGACCGGACCCAAAGCATAATGAAGCCCAAGGTCAAGATATTGTGCTGGTAAATGCCGTTAGTGACGGTGTATTCACTCTGGTGCTCGAGAAGCATACCAGGATGAAATGCGAGCCCACATTGGCAGCATGAGTAACGTAATCCTTTTCCGCACTCCAAAGAAATCGAACATAGTGTGCTTGTAAGATGAGGACAATGACCCAGTAGATGCTGGTCAGCACCGAATTGACACTGAACCCTGTAGGGTGGTGATTGTTCTGCCCCCATATTGTGTGACAATCTTTGTGACGTTTGCAATCGGTGGGACGCTCGAATGTGTAGACTGCTCCAAAGATAACGAGAACAATCCAGCTGACTATCGTGAGGATCTTGTACGCAATGAGGTTTCTCTGGGTAAATTCTTCGCGCTTCGCGAACGGATTGTCTATAGAGGCGGGTCAGCAGACACCAAGTTTGCAGTTTGGTCGCTCTTCATACAGTCTGTGAGAGGCATCTCGAGCTCCTGTGACCGACGGCGGGGATTTGGATGCTTTCCTTCGACCGATCTTGTGGAAGCGCAGAACAGTGGACAGAGTGCAGGCTCACAGAGAGTTGAGGCTCAATCAACACGGCGCATAGATAGGTATAGAATATTGACTGGGAGGGAAGATAGACTTCGGTAAGCAGGGTCAGTCAACGACGGCAACAACAACCACAAAGACGGCAGAATCCGGGCCCTGGTTTCATAGAGACCAACTTGTCCTCGTGATCGACTTGGACGCTTAGCAGTGTAACGATGTCGTGAAGGAGGAGTTGAATGGGGACGTGATTTGCGTGCGGGACAACAGCTCCAGCCGGTCCAGAGAATCGTGGGGAAATGACGTCAGGAGTCACTCCGCCTCTCACTCTGCTGTCTCGCATTTCACGTGCTGGTTACTAACAGGAACAAACAACACAAACACATCAGGCCACAAGTCTCAGAGGACAATGATGCTATATCATACATGCAGTATCCAAAAGTGGGTATATGTGTCTGACAGACCCCTGCCCGCTCAGAACTTGGCCATGGCAGCTTCATATGCAAACCCCAGCGTCATCTTGGCATGCTGGAGCATATGGTCAAAACTCAAGTACTTGATGAGATCCTCTGAAGTGTGGATCTTCTTGTCCGAATATTCAAAATCCGACTCGATCACAAATGCTGAGGGATAGCCGTATTTGCTCGCCGACGCGTGGTCGGAGCACGCATATCCACATTTGGTCAGGGTGTAAGGGATGTCACAATAGGCGGTAATAATGCCTTCGACAAACTGCGTCAGAGCTGGGTCCACAAAGTCGGTAATCACTCCAACGGATTCAGGCTTCCCGTGCGCGAGGGTTTGCTCGATGTAGCCTGTCATGTCTTGCTGAATCATGGCTTTGATGTCCTTTCCTTCTTCGTGATACGACTTGAAGATGGCCTGGCTCCCGAGAAGTCCACCCTCCTCGGCCGAATACCAGTGGAACTCTACCGTGTTCTCACTTGAGCCGGTCACAATCTTCTCTGACCCGAGCAGCGCCGTCAAGGCCTCGAGGATGGTCACCGTTCCGCTGCCATCATCGTCGGCGCCAGGGGCACGGAGGTAAGGGAAGTACATATTGACGCTGTCCAGATGAGCGCCGATCACAATGGTGTGATTTGTCCGCCCGGGGAACCGCGCAATGATGCTTGATTGGCCCCATGAATGCGGGAACAGGCTCAAAGAAGCACTGTAGTTGAATGCACCGGACGCTTCAATCACTTCTTCAATCTGGTCATGCAACCACAGGGCTGCATCAATGCCGTCCTGGCTTCTGAAGTAGCGCGTGTGGAAGGAGGTGAGACCTTCAAGGTGCTTGCGCATGTTGTCCTTGTCCAACGTCTTCATCAACGCCTTGACCTCATGCTTGTGCTCGGGCTTCGAGGGATAGACGATTGAATTCGCAGCCATTTCAGGATCGACCGCGTATGGATATGTATCTCCATTCTCGGTGATGTCCATAAACTTGACTCCATTCTGTTGCCGGTCGAGTCAGCGGTGTGTCCGTTCGCCGGGGGCACAGGGCTAGGCATAGACATACTCTCTTGAGCTCCCATTTCTCCTCCTCCGACACCCATCTCGTCTCTCCGGGGCTCAATTCAATCAAAGCCCGGTCTTGAATGGCAGACTGTCCATCTAGAGGAATAATTGCTTGCTGGGGGTCAGTGTCGATAGAACGAGCCGAGACGGAAGTCGCCAGCGAGATGAGCAGAAGCGCGAGGGACTTCATGACAATATCACACGAAGGGAAAATGAAAAGAACGATATCCCAAGCACCGAAGTCGATTCAAGAAAGGTGTTGGTATACAGAGCAGTATGGGATGGATGGAAATGGTATCTGGTGTTGGAGACGCAGGCACCAGAGAATTGAATAGACTACTACAGTAAGTACCGAGTACCCGGTAGACTGCAGGTGGTTGAGATCCTCCTTAGCGACTGGGCCACCCAGGGCCTGCCCACCCGCCCCCTCTGCCCCAAAACTTGACCACCATGGGCTATGGTGGCACCCCGTGATAGGCCTCCTTGTACGAGGTAACAAGTAGGTAGAGAATGGCTGAGGGGTGCTCCTCCGAAACAAATAGGGACTCCAAGGACCCCGTGCAGCACTTCGCGGTCAGCTCCTCATCGCCATACCCGGTACGAAGTACTGTAGAAATGAATTTCTTCACAATTGGACTGTCTTGCGCCGTTTCTGGTCAACGAGGAACGTAATACTCGAGTCACCATGATATATAGGGCTTTGTAGACTAACTGACCACGGGCCGATCAAGACAATATAAATATATCGATGTGTCACTTGTCCATCTTTGACTCATGTTGAATCAATCCTCTCCCCCACGGTGCTGGAGGCTGGTCTGTAATTCGTCCGTGGCTCCCTACCCAGCACTCGCTAGTAGCTTTGGAGAATATCCGCGTCACCAACTGCAACTGCGGGCGCAAGTACCCAGTAATAGTCCGACTACCTACTTACGGGATGTGGGAGGCCATCCTTTTCCCGAATGAGCCTCAACCGCGCACCCTTCAAGAGATAGCTTTCTCACACAACCTGCCCCTTACCCTTCTTCCATCAAAGATTCGTTGAAACATTTGACTCAAGGTCTCCCTTCGCCTCCACGGTTCCAGATCGTTGCTCCCCTGAACTGCCTTTTCTCTGTCTGGCCGTCATTTCGCCACTCTCTCGAGCACTTTGGACGTCGCATCGATCGGTTATCATCACCCATGGCTATCGTCCCGATAATGTCGACCCCCGAGGCCGTCGCGCCTGGCGCTTCGCAAAGCACCGAAGAGGTGACTGTTCAGATGAAAAACGTCTCCATTGACCCTGCGACGACGCCCGAGCGGACTCGTGTCGCTAGCACTTCAGTGCGCATCACGGTTCCTATTGACGCGACTTCGAGAACGGCTGTTGTCGCTCAGTCGGGGGTATACTCCGATCGAAAGCTCGTGCGTCGCGACAGCATGGACCGTCGCGAAGCCCTGCTCAAGGGCAAGGAGGGTTCGCGGCAGCGACGGCGATGGGAAAATGGTACTCCTACAATCTACCCAGAGACGACTGTTGGGTGACTAAATAAAATCTGACGAATAGATCGCCTTCTGTCAAACCCTTGGGCTGTCCCTCCCCTGCCCTCTGACTGGGAAGTTCGTCCCACCTACCCTCGTCGAACCGTCCCTTACTATCTCGCTCCCCTGTGGGATGCCGCCGAGTTTCAGCGGACTGTCGAATCCAAGCTCAGGGGTCGCCGGAACAGCATCCGGTCCCACGGAAGACGCGTGCAGAACACCGGCATGAGTCCCATGGAGGAAGCGGCCACCAGCATCCCGAAGGAAGTGCGAGCCAAACTCAAGCGCGCCAAAGCCGCCAAGGGATTGCTTCAGGACCTGGAGGAGACGGTCCGAGCATTCGTGCGCAAGTGGAACGAAAGAGAAATCCGTCTAAGAAGAGATGGTCTGCATGACATTCCTCTGACTAGTGACAGTGAGGACGAGGAAATTGTTTTCATAGGCAGAAATGGTGCTATGCACGATTCACCTGGCAAGGAGCAGAGGGACAGGGGTGAAATGGAATGGGACGAGGAGGGCACCATCGGCACTGAGAAAATGGTCTTCGAGGGTCTGGATAAAGACAAGGGTGCCGCCTTTGCGAGATGGCTGGTGCATTGCGTGGGCAGCTACTATGGCTTGCGAACTTGGAGTGTTACGCGTGACATCGAGGGTGAGGAGAAGAGAAGGCAAGCCTATGTGGGCGTGGACAGTCGAGCAAGAGGATTTCTGGGCCGAGGCGTCGAAGTCGGTCGCGAAATCGAACTCCCACGGCCATTGTGGGGGATGGTGTAAAGATGATCCCAACTCCTGTCCGTGAGGGTTCGACGCGTCGTCCTCGAACTCGTTGAGCTCTAAACGCTCCTCCGTGTTGATGGGGCAAGGAAATCTTCTATTGGTCGATTGTAGAACATTAGACAATCTAATTGCAACAGAAATTTCATGATTCGTGCGTTGCTTCTTTTTTTTTTTCAGAATTTTTCGTGATGGACATTGCAGCGCTCTAGCTGGATGTTGATCAGGGCCCTTCGTGCAGGGCTCTGTAGACATGACTCGTTGCACGGGTGTGGAGCATATCGACGAACTGGTGGAGCTGAGTGGGATTACGCAGCCAAACACAGCTACACACCATATCGCAACGAGGAGAGGAAATTCCTCACAGTGATTGATAAAGCAAGCCTGTTGGGGGCCAATGAAATTGAAGAAAACCTCGAAATCCCCGAAGATCCAGTAACGTCAGCGTTCTTGACGAGAATGTAAGACGGACACAAACCGAACTAGGACCAGTGCAGAGTTCCGGCAAGATGTACAGAGTAAGTGGTCGTCTAATTGAAAGATAGCAAGATTGCGAACGTGGTCCGACATGAGCTAGGACACGGGGAGGCATGCAATGGCTGCTTTTATTGCGTGAACGTGCTCAAGCACGAATTCAGGCATGGCATATACCGTGACAGCGAGTCGACAGGGAGGCGAACGGCCATTGTGGCAGTGATACTGTGCCATGAATCTCCCGCGACAGAAACGGCCGTGAGATGGAGAACACCTGGCATGTACAACGCCACGCAGAACCGAGGATGGAGATCTCAAGTGCCCCCCTTCTGCCCGTTCCGAGCCCCGCCTAGGCTGTAAAGTTCATGCGAGCCGTCAAGCACAAAGCTCACAGTTTGCATCGGAGTGCAGACGGTAGCCCCGGACGGGACTTGGAGCCCGCAGCCTTCCAGGACCAGGTTCAGGAGCTCTGATCAACCACAAAGCTTGGTGGCCAATGTTTCTCGGAATTGAGTAGTCAGGTACGTGCGAACGCTATCACTGAAAAACAACATTAGAAGCAAGTTGGGCATGAACTATAGCTCATGGCCATTTTGCGGGTCGAGCCGTTGCTGGTGGTGGATGATCAAAACGATGCAACCTACCGTTATTTCTCCTCATTTCGGGAGTGGTTGCATGACTTTTCTCCAGATTCGTCCTAAAATGCCTCACACCCGATGATTATGATATTGTTGCCTGACTCAGATTCGCCCTGAGTACACGTGCTCGCAACGAAGGATAGAAGAGGACCTTTTGCTGGAGCTCTACTCGGTCATGCTTTGAGATGCAGGATGACAGACCCAATGCTTGAAAATGAAGCGAGACATGGCTGCCCAAAGGTGGCATTCTCGGCATGATGAAAGGATCGAGGTTGCTCAGCTGCAGCACCCGAGACGAAAGATATGGACTTTTTTGGTGGTATAGAGGCACAAAGGTACAGCATCTGGCAGTGAACACATGTTCATGTCCGCTCTTGAGCTTCCAACACGATTTGAAGGCTCTCCAAATATGGCACGGGCATGCATAGCAGCCAAGATTGAAGCAGCGTATTGAAAAGCAAAGCAGGTGACATGGCGAGGTTCAGTACCAATGAAGTGGTGCCACATATTTGCCGCAGACTAAGTTAGCAAGGAAGGAAGCAGTTCATCAGGACTTCGGCAAAGGTTGAATTAAGGCACGCTGCTAGCCCCAATACAGTCTAGTGACCTCGGCCTTGTCCCGCCAAACCCGGCCATCGGATTTTCACCTGGTCTCGTTGACGTGGCACATGGGCTTTGCACCATCACCTGCTTGACACGGTCAACACAAGTGAAGCATTCGGTCAGACAGGCATTGAATTTCTTATTTGCACGGCCGGATCCCCGTCATCCTGTCACCTGCTCATTTTCACAGCTACGTCTGACAGCAGCAAACACGTCGATTTTCGCTCCGTTCCTCACATGTGTCCATTTTTTGCCATCCCACCACGAGATCCGTCGTTCATCCAACCATCCGCCATCTACCTGTGGTCCTTTTCTCCGTCCGACGTCCTTCTCGCCACCATTGGCATTGCACTGTTTTTGTCCGCGTCTTCTCTGCGGTTTGCCTCCCACGCCACGGAGAATGATGCTGGTTCGACGCTGAATGGGTGTTGTCCGGGTCACTGTTACCCCGTACGAGTCGGTTATTGGAGTGTGGTTGAGGGCTTGTTCGCTAAGCAGGATCACTAAGATGCCTAGGTATCTTAGGTGAACATATCGTTCTCAGCAAATCCGGGTGCAAAGTGTTTCCAGAAGAAAACTGGTAATCTGCGGCAGGTCCCGGCCACACCCGCCATATTGCTCTCCTGGCTTGTCTCCCACTCCGCTGCCACAAATCCGCCGTAATATGTACGATTGCTGCCGCGCCATCACCTGCGCCTGTCCTTCCTCGTGCAAAATGGCTAGGAGAGGTTGACATCGTCCTTGTCTGCCTGTGGAGTGATCTGGTCAGTCAAGTCTGTTTGCTTTTTGGGGATTGTCACCAATAACCGCAATGGTCTCGCTTTCTTTTGATATGCCGTTGGTGTCGCTACCTCCGGTTCTTTCTATTGCCGTGTCTTCATTACCTCGCATCTCTCTGAAATATCTCTCTTATCAAGACCTAGAAATCGCTTTCCCATTTCATTATAGACCAGCAACCCTCTCCTACTTCACAACAACACCTGAGTATCCCGCATCTGTTTCAACATCATGCCACGACGTACCCCAGGTCGGATCTGGTCGAAAGGATCTGCTACTTCTCAGAGCTCCACCTCGACCCGCAGCGACCAGTCCAGCCATTCGAGCCTCTCTAGTCACACTCAATATACCAACCTCACGTCTTGTAGCGACACCAAACCTGTTGCCAAGCATTACCACAACTATGAGGAGCGTGAAATTGTTGATGGGTGCATCGTTCATCCCGATGAACATGAACACGAACAAGACCCTCGAGCATCAACCGAAACATATACCTCAACAATTGCTTCTGATATTGATGATGCATCATCGAGACCTCCAAGCTTATGTCCATTGATGAGACATATATGCTATAAGCCTGATGCGATCGCCACCACCCCCATCGAATTCGGAGAGCTGTTTCCATCCACAAGAAGAATCCTTATCCAACACGACGACACCACTCCGGACGGAAATTTAAATCTTCGGGTTGATACTGAGTTGAGCATCGCCAAAGGACACAAGCTGAAGTTGACTCTTTTCCACCTCCGCATGTACGATCTCGCCGAACGGCAGTTCTCGCTTCGTCGATATCAGCGGCAATCGGGTCGGGAAGTCTGCAACTCGAGAAGAAAGTATCTGAAGCCGGCCGCCAAAAAATCATCTTCATCATCCTCGCCCAGACGGCTGTCATTTACCTCGACTCTCGCCAAGATAAATCTCAAAACGTTGAAGAGCAAGCCTCGGACGAAGCCAGCGCAAGAGATTCGAGACGAGGAGTCGGACGACGACTTCAGTTCTTTCGCGGCGCAAGTCGACGTCAAGGCCACTATTCCCACCGATACTATCAGAATCGAGTTCTCCAACTATGCTCAGGTCGAACTCGAGCGTAGTAAGACAGGGGACGGCAAGTACGAGTTTGAGTATTGGGGCGAACGGTATTCTTGGAGACGGAATATCTATCGAGATGAATCAGAGCTGGTCTTCTCTTTTGAGCTGATCGCTGCGTCTTCGGGGGTGTGCATTGCTCATATTACTCCTGACAAGTTGTCTCAGAGACAGAGCAGGCAAGAGGCGGCGCTGGGGGGTTGGGTGCCACCGTGCAGTCTGCGGCTCACGGAGAAACAAGTCTCGAATGACTTAGGAGACGTGATTATGGCGACCGGACTCATGAGCCTTGTGGATGACTGCATCAAGAGACACTGGCATGAACCACACCGCTCTTGACCCAGAAAAGAGCGATCGGTGTCAGATCGCACTTTGTGGATTTGTCTTTTTTTGCCTTTGAACTTTTTTTTTTCCAGTCTGGACACGAACCCGGGAATGGATTTCCCGTTGCAGAGGCGTTACACAGAGCTACAGGCGGTGTGGGATGCATCGCGAAGATGAGATGCAAAGGGCATTAGTGATGGACTCTTGGGGGTGTTGTCACGGTGGAATCCGTCACATTTCTTGTACAGAATTTGCATTGGGCCAGCTTATGGCAGAGGATTGATCTGGACAGGAATGTCTGGACAAATTTGGGCTGGTCAGCGATGGGGACAAGGCTTTGGACAGCGTAAATTAGGGACGTACGGGACACGACATGGCGAGAATGGATGGACCCATTTCGCATGACTCGTGTTCCACAAGATGAAAGGCTCTGGAATGTATAGCTAAACAGACGACTTGACACGAGTATCATTGGTACTGTGTCCATGCTCCCGTGGGAGGAATCTGTACAAATGAAAGGCACAGTTGCCTCTACTGAGACTTAGCAGGAGGACTCTCTAGGCATTCGCTGGGTTTTCGGGCCGCTTGGTATGATATGGGAGTTGTACTTGCACGGAGGACCTTGGTACCTTCCGAGCTACATGGGTATCTACTTGTTAGTACTCGGTATTCTACTCGAAATTTGTATAGCACAGATCTAGTCCTCATTTAGAACTAGCGGCTTGGCCTCCGTCACCCGCCGCCGTGATTGGCCCAGACGCTCCCGCTGACCGAATACTTTCCTACGTCGGTCTTGGGCTTCCCCATTTGTCCCCATTTGTGGCCTCTCCACCAGACTCTGTTTTTTGTTCCTGCTCTGCATCTTGCTCCAACCATCATCCCTCCATCTGGTGCCATCATCCTAGACAACATACTACTGCTGCACAGCTCTCAAAACTCTTGCCACGCTCGACGGCTCAATGCCGCGTTCCTTTTCTATTGCACACTGCTGCTCACTGCAGGCCTAAGCTCTCCAGCCTCCCGCTGTCAGTCACAGGTCCCAGCAGCAGGGATCTCGCCTGCCTTCTGTCCTCATTTCTCTCTCCCTCCCTCTCTCTCTCTCGTGTCCCCTATTTCCTCTTTGGTCTAAAATAACTGGACACCGACCCTCAATGTCCCTTGCACTCCGGGGTTGTTACTAGAGATTGCGTTACTCTCCATCGGCTAATTGATCCTTATTATCAAATTGTTTCCCGCATTCTTGCCTCTGGCCTCCTATCCGGCTTGTCCTGGCAATTGTACACAGTAACTTCCATCTTACGCCACTATACCCAATCTCACGTTGCAAGCACTCGCCATTCTCGGGCAGTTCAACTCGAGACGTGGATCGATCTCATGCGTGCTCTGACACACACACACACACACACACACACACGCCCCCCCCGTACAGCTCAGATTGCTGCCCAAATGCAAAATTATCCCCGAGAGCATTGAAGGCGACCAATAAGGGAACCAGCCCTGATTTTCGACGTACTCCGGATGCAGCGAGGCAAGAGGGAAAATTTTCAATCCTTGCTCGGAAGCTCCCTCACTGCTTCCAAAATCTCCACGACCATCGAGTCGGGTTGATGTGGACATATCACCGATGGAAACAGTTTGTTCTTTTTTTCGGCCGCTATCTTGCATTCGATCGGTCGGCAGCCAAGTGTGCCGCCCCCACTTCGATATTGCCATCCGACATTTGATGGTTTCCTTCTAGCCTTTCGCGGACTCTTCCCCCCTTCCTCTGATTGTCACATAGTCTTCTTTTCTACGCCATCATGCATATCATCGCTTGCGCTTGGGGCCGGACCTTTCGTCCCACTACTGTACGCTGCCGGATACCTGATGTGTTGGCAGCATCTCTCTGGTGAGGCTGCTGGCTCTGTTTTTTTTTTGGCTTTGCGTTCTTCCATCCCATCCTCTACCCACGTTTGACATCTCACGTCTCTGCAGTCTCTTACCTTGTACCACGAAGTTCTTCATAGATGATGCCAGGGCCGCTGGTCCATCGATACAAAAGTGTCACGAGATCTCAGATCATGTCGCACAGAGCCAACCTATGTTCAGTTGTTTTCAATGCTGCCCTACCTTGAAATGAAGCGGCCTTGATAGACAAAGAACCTGTCGTGGAAACGAAGTACTGGAGCACCTGCAGCTACCCTTCCCTGATTTTGGCTCTCGCTCTGTCACTTTGCTTTGCGTCCTTAGCTGAGCATTCGACCTTCCCCGGGTTTTCCTTTGAATATAAAGTTCTCGGATATCTGTGGTCACGCAGGGTGGTTTCTGTCATCATCTCACTCCATTCCTTCCTCGTCGACACGACCAAATATCCCCCACGAAGACATAAAGTTGTCGGATTGAAAGCTTTCCGCAACCAAGCCAAAAACTTGACTATCCTTCCATTACCAAGTATGGCTACCAAAACTCATAAGACCTGGCAGGAAGAACTCGCTGGTAAGCTTCGCACCTTCATGGGTACTTGATCTTCAGCTAACTTGTTGGTAGCTGAATGCCGAAAACTGAGACTGCCTGTTCCCCAATTCAATATTGTCTCTGATCGTCGAGGTGAGTTCCGCATTGGAATAGCTCGTTTTCCAACTCTTCAAGCAGGATTTGGTCAATATTGTTCCGAGGCTGATCTATGGCGATTGATTTCTAGGTGGGCGGACTGCTTGGTCTGCTACAGTCACAATCCAGGGCCAGAATCTCGCAGCAAGATACTGGTATGATGGGCAATACCTCAATAATGCCAAAGAAGACGCCGCCGAGGTGGCCTGCACCAAACTACGCAACCCTTCGATCACCGCCGGCCAGTCAACGGTCTACCGCGCACAGTCTGGCTATGGTGGCCCCTGGGCTGCTCGCTGAGTCTCGTGCTGCGACGTGTGCTGGACAGCAATACTGTGCTTCCAACCAGGTACAAAGCCGCGGGCAGGTTTCGAAGTCGAATTTCCGGTGGGGTAATTGTCTCAATACCTGCTGTATCCAATGGGGCAAAATAAGAGTTTCGAATGAGAGCATAGCGATGGCGTTATGGTGACACACAGACTCAGGACAGCAAGGGGGTTAGGAGGGTCGTTTTTTTTTCTTTTTTTTCTTTGGGATTGGATTTTCTTTCTCCTTTGTCCCCGATGATCTCTTGTTTCTCAGAACAAAACAAACCCCCCAAGATTCCAAGAGAGATTAGAACCAGTCTGTCCTCTTGTCCAGGCTCCAAGCTGTCAGTCAGAGGGAGAGGTCTCAGTCCTCAGTCAAATTTTCTTGACCGCTTTTCAGGGTTGATAGAAGAAAATGCAGGAATCTATGATATCTCATGCTGACCCATGTTTTGATTCTGGCTGTGCTCCATTCTGCGCAAGTGTCCGACTAGCGCGCTGGACAGAATGCTCTCTTCTGTTCACCAGCTCATCATCCCATGCGCGTCGTGTCGTGTCGTGTCGTTTCGTGTGGAGCCCGGAGGATGTAATCTTGCAGCATGGGGCAAAATGTCTGTATACCGTGACCTGTCGTGCTACAGTCGTTGGGTGATTTGGGGACTTTCAGCGATGTCCACGCATGACCCGACGCTCTGGATATCGAATCAAGGCGAGGGGGGTGTTGTTCTAGAGGGTGGGAGAGAGGAAAGGAACGAGGCGTGGACGTAGTCGAGGAAAAAGTTCCGGGCCACAACTTGTTCCCCTCCGTTTACTCCGTCCGCCTCCCAAATTCTGTTTTCACTTCACCGTCACCCACTCTCCAGCAAATCGAGATTCCTCTGTGCTACGCGGCATCGGTGACCTGTCAAGTACCCGGCAAGCAAAGTTGACGTGTAGAGGTACATCCCCGTGCCACCTGAATCGGCGGACGAGTGCATTTCCCATTGCCCCGTTTTATATATGTACTGGGCCCGTCAAGTAACCAGACCACGTCTTGACATCCTCACCGCCGCAAAGCAGGCAATTACCGGCAGTCCCTATGCATTCGGACCAGTCGCCGCTATGTCGACCGCTACAAAGCCCTCAGCGCTGACCTTTGATCTCAAAGCCCGCTGTTCGGTAAGCAGCCACTACTCTCCATCCATCCCTCTGCTGCAAGTCCATTCCCGCGGTTGACAAATTTCTTCTATTTTTCCAGACATCCAAGGCCCGTGCCTCGACTCTGCATTTGCCTCATGGTTCAGTAGACCTTCCTATTTTCATGCCAGTGGCCACCCAGGCGTCTCTCAAAGGCCTGACTCCCGAACAATTGGAAGAGACGGGTTGCAGACTGTGCCTGAACAATACATACCACCTGGGATTGAAGCCTGGTCAGACGGTTCTTGACACCATTGGCGGAGCCCATAAATTACAAGGATGGAACTACAATATCCTGACTGATAGCGGCGGGTTGGTGGTGCACAGCACCCTCTCTGCCCGCGGATGAGTGACTGATTCGAGGCATCTCAAGTTTTCAAATGGTTTCGTTGCTCAAGTTGGCGAAGATCACGGAGGAAGGCGTGCGATTCCTCAGCCCCCATGATGGCAGTCCAATGTAGGTGATGGCTCTGATCGAACACCACCTATGAGGCCAGAAACTCAAGTCATGCACAGGCTCCTTACCCCCGAGCATTCCATGTCTCTTCAGAACTCAATTGGCTCGGATATCATGATGCAGCTCGACGATGTCATTCAGACAACATCACCTGATCATGCCCGTATGAAGGAGGCCATGGAACGGTCCATCCGCTGGCTCGACAGATGCATCGCCGCACACAAGAATCCCGAAACGCAGAACCTCTTTTGCATCATCCAGGGTGGTCTCGATCTGGAAATGAGGCGACAATGCTGCGAAGAAATGGTCAAGAGGGACACGCCAGGCATAGCTATTGGTGGCCTATCTGGCGGAGAAGCAAAGGCGGATTTTTGCAAAGTGTATGGTAGCTCCCACTTCCGTCAACTTCCATCTTGAAATATCTGAACGCTCACTCTTTGGACAGTGTTGATACATGCACCGATCTACTACCCGAGAATAAGCCAAGATATGTCATGGGCATTGTACGGTGTCTGTTTCCATTGCTGGCGGTGGACAAGCACTGACCTCTACAGGGCTATCCAGAAGACATAGTCGTCGCAGTAGCTCTCGGAGCGGATATGTTTGATTGTGTATGGCCGACGAGAACGGCGGTGAGCTTTCAATATCTTCAGTCGTGTCATTCCCCGCGGCTACCGTTCTGACCGAGGTATACTGTGTAGCGCTTCGGCAATGCGATCACTTCCAGCGGCGTCCTGAACCTAAAAAATGCGCGGTATGCTGAGGACTTTGGCCCTGTCGAGCAGGATTGTAGCTGCACTTGCTGTCGGCCAAAAGAGGATGGCGGTCTAGCCATCACCAGAGCGTATATCTACCATCTCGCGGCAAAGGAGACTGTTGGGGCTCACTTGTATGTTTTCATCTCTCATCTCATCTTGTTTACTTTCCGGCTGCTCCTCTTGGTTTGTCTAAGATGTCCTCTGGATCAATTGATTGACTCGGTACGTTTTACAGATTGACAATGCATAATGTGCATCACCTGCTTTCATTAATGCGACGAATCAGAACGGCCATCATGGAAGACCGGTATCCTGCATTTTGCAAACAATTCTTTGCAAAGTACTTTGACGGACAACCTCCGCCGGAGTGGGCTGTCGATGCTCTTAAGGGAGTGGGGATTGAGATATAATCAATCACACCGCGCACCCTATGTCGTTGGGACTGACCGGCATTGTGAGGACGATGGCAGCGCTGCCGGATTTTGGCTTCCGACGCAGGTAGGTGTGCGCCTTAAGTTAGGTCTCACCGCTTCCCTCATTCCTAGACTCAGCATGGTCCTCTCTGAGCAGGAAACGCCTAAGCTGCGTTCAAGGCCATTTCTATTCTATGTGGGCCAATCTGCGAGATGATGACAATGATCATGCTCGGTTCAGCTCTCTTTGGCATTTAGTCGGCGACAAAAGGAAAACCAGAAAATCCACCTTAGTATCGTCAAAAATCTTGCGGTCTACGAGATCTCTCCATCCCGCAGATATCTATCAGCAATTTGTCGTAGTGTTCCCAGAATGTGCGGTCATAGACATCGCCCACCAACAGTCAAACTGTGACAATAACCCGACTTCAACGACAATTCAGATCCTCGATTGTTCGCCTAGCCTTCCTTTGTCGTTGACCTGGACCTGGGTCTTTTTTTCGAGCTCCCTTTGAAAGCTCCTGTCCAGGGCCGTGACAAGAGCATAGATGGCCCTGAGCAACGGCGTGTGCACGCCTCTTTCATCAGCCAACCGGACGGTGTTGCCGACGATGGCATCGACTTCCATCCTCGCGCCGACCTTTGCGTCGGCGAGCATGGAGGGTTCGACGCCAGGCAGCTCCCTGACTTTGGCGCGGTTGATTTGGTAGGTGATAGTGTCAGCGTTGATGTTGTCGTAGCCGAGCGACTGGGCGATGGACGCGATCTCAGTCATGAGCGACTTGATCAAACCTAGCGAGTACTCTGGCGGTGAGGACTTGAGGAACTGGGCGTCGCGCGACCGCGAGAGCGCGCACACCGGGTTCCAGCTCGCGTTGACCATGAGCTTGCTCCAGCGCTGCGGTTGCACGTCCTCGTGCAGTTCCGTGCTGCCTCCCCCCGCGTTGAGGAGGCGGGCGAACGGTTCGGCCGCGGATTGGTGCGCCCGTGGCGCGTTGGAGGGGTACGTCCCAATGTGCAAGAGTTCAATCTCACGGTGGACGATCACGGCGGGAGCAGTCTGGGTGGCGGGGAGGTACACCACGCAGCTCAGCAAGGGGTTGTCTGGATAGAGGGTGCGGTAGGGTTCTTCGATGGCGATGCCATTCTGAATGAGGGCGATAGTCGTGTGAGGTGCGATGGCCGGGCGGAGCTGTTCTGGAATCGACGGAGTCGTGTGTATGGCCTTTGCCGTGACAACGATGTAGTCGAATGGTTTGCCTCCTGAGAGCGAGACAGCTTCATCAACGGTCCGCACCACCTGGGGCTTAAAGTTGAGGCCTTCCCCAAAGATGGTCGAGTTGATGGTGAAGCCTGCTGTCGAGGCAACCGCATGGTTCGAACGGCACACCGTGTAGAGGTTGGCTGGGCCAACGGCACGGAAGAGTATCCAGGCGTAGACGGCGCCGACGCTGCCGGTGCCGAAGACGAGGACGCGAGGAGGAGAGACTGGAGGGGCAGGCATGGCTGTGCTGGGCAGAACACGTTAATTAATGGGAGATGTGTATGATGAGTGGCTTTTTGCTTGGTTCTTATTTTCTGCTTGCGCGAGAAGCTCTGGTATCCCGCTTGGGGGGATACATTAGAATTGAGATATCACCGGTTATGAGCGAGGGATGGTGTGGAGATATCGGCAAACGTCCCGATGGATGATGGATGCGATCATTTCATATCCAATGGGATGTCTTTGAGTTATTTCCGAGCGGGTGAGGAGAACTTGGGTAGGGCGAGAAAATACGGAATCATTGTGTCTGTCTCTCTGGAGCAATAGTGGGAAGAAAAAGAGAAGAAATATGGCCGCCTACCTTGTCATCGTTCGCTGCAATACACAAACTGACCTCGCAGTCTTGGTGGAGCAATGCTGGACAACGCTCAGGCGACCTGTTCTTCGAACGGGAACAGCAATTATCTGGCAGGAAGGTAATGTCAATGGGTTTCTTGTGTAAATATATCGATGTTGATGATACGTGATACAGAATCGAGTACCCACACTGCCAGGATATGGCAGTCGTGGTAAAGGCCTCGATATGCCTGAGACCAGACGCCACCAACCGCAGCCATGGAGAGACGGTCTCATATTTTGCATGAGTCCTTGTGATGTTGCATTTCGGGCGCCAACGACGATAAAGAGTGGTGGTGCGGTGGTGTGCGGTCAGGACCACGAGTACAACGAAGAAAAGAAGACGTTGCAATCTTCTGTGCTGGCTGTGGAAGCTGTCGAAGGATGAGGATGCGTCTTCACCCAGCATGCATCGGATGAGGGAAGCCAACGGCGGAGCAGATGACGCGCACGCGACGTGCAGCCGACGACGCGACGAGCGACTCGGGCGACCACAGGCACAAAAAGGGGACGGCAGGGGGTCGCCAGGGTCACTATTGCCAGGTGCCAGGGTCAGCCAAATGACGTTGTGCATGCCCCCAGAGGCTGAAAATCCACCGGTGCCACTTCCCAGGATGGGGGAGACGCTTTCCTTTACCATTACCGAGTAGTATTTGCTCCATCCAAGCCCATACGCAGCACCCAGTACCGGGTACATACAACCAAAAAAGAGGAGGAGGAGGAGTCTGCCACCTACACCACAACATTCCACGAAGAAAGGCACAGCCATGGATCCCGATATACCTACGCCCTCGATTGAGCACGATGCCCTCCAAGCTGCCACCAACACCCACGCCTTCACCACAACAACCCCAGGTCTCGCGTCACCCTCGATCCGAGTGAATCATCAAGACCACAACCACACCCATGCGCACCCTGCCTTGCTGAGTGCGGCCGCGCAAATCCCCCTTCCTCCCTCTTCGCCCATGCGCAGTCCCTACCACACCCCTGCGACCTCCAAGACCAAGTCTCTCTCGCCGAAACCGCCCTCGCGCTCTCCATCTGTCGCGAGTTCATATCGAGGCGAGAGACAAGAGAGACAGTCCACGCCGACACTGGCCACCAAGAGATCAACCTCCAGCCTGAGCAATACAAGGGGCAACACCCCCCAATACCGTCGTACGTCCTCGAATCTCAACCCTCTGTATCCTGCGGCAAATGGGGCAAATGGCAAGATGTCCCTTCCAGAACGCCCGCGCGTCACGGCCAGTTCGGTCGCGAACGAGTACTTTGGAAAAGAGCTAGAAGCCCATATCTCTCTACAATCCCCTGTTGTGGTCATCATCCACGATTCATGCTATGGCCATCGCTTTTCCCGCCCGCGCACCTCCAAGAATGCCCTGGCCACAATTGTCGAGCGGCCGGAAAGAATCCACGCCACGTTGCTAGGCGCGTCTGCTGCCTATGTGCGCCTGGGAGGGCGGCATGCCGATGGCGAATATGCGCCTTGCCCAAAGCACCACCCGTCTCGCGTGTGCAACATCCCGTTCCAGATCCGCAAGACTACTCGAAGCATCCCCCTCACCCACCCTTCAGTCACTTTCGTACACGGTGCAAAGTGGATGGAAGAGTTGCAAATCATGTGCGACACCGCCGAAGGGAAATTGACCCTCAACGGAAAAGAGCTGGTGAGGCCGATCGGGCATGGCAAGGACGAGAATGGACCTCCCCTCCCCAAGTTGCATGAAGGCGACTTGTACTTGTGTGCAGAATCGCTGGCTGCTTTCCAGGGTTGTCTCGGTGGGGTCTGTGATGCAGTGGACACCATCTTCTCTTCACCACAAACTAGGAGAGCCTTTGTCTGCATTCGACCCCCGGGCCATCACTGCTCGTCCAATTACCCATCGGGCTTTTGCTGGCTGAACAATGTCCACGTGGGAGTTGCCTATGCCGCTATGAATCACGGCCTGACGCATGCCGCTATCATCGATTTTGACCTACATCACGGAGACGGTTCTCAGAATATTGCTTGGGATCACAACCGAAAGGCACAAGGTGCAGCTAAGAATGCTGCAGCACACAAGAAAACACCTATTGCCTATTACAGCCTCCATGACATCAACTCCTATCCCTGTGAGTGGGGTGACGAAGAAAAGGTGCGAAATGCCAGCTTGTGTATTGAAAACGCTCACGGTCAGTCAATTTGGAATGTCCACTTGGAGCCTTGGAAGAGCCATGAAGAGTTCTGGAAATTGTACGAGTCCAAGTATATGATACTGCTTGACAAGGCGAGGACATTCTTGCGACACCACACGGCAAGATTACGCGCTTCAGGAAACCAGTCACCCAAGGCCGCCATCTTCATCTCCGCGGGTTTTGATGCTAGCGAATGGGAAGGTGCAGGCATGCAGAGGCACAGTGTCAATGTCCCAACAGAATTCTACGCGCGTTTCACGGCTGACATTGTTCGACTGGCGCACGAAGATGATCTCGGTGTGGATGGTCGAATTGTCAGTGTCCTGGAGGGTGGATACAGTGATCGCGCTCTGACTTCAGGTGTGCTAAGCCATATCTGTGGCATGGCTGGTGATAACCCTGGCTCAAATGGACAATGTTCGTCCGAGACCCAGGGCAACAGATTTCAAACGATCAACAATTGGGTCCAAGATATACCCTCCTCTGCCGCTGGGCATCACTTTACCTACGCAGCGGACTGGTGGGCACTTCAAAACCTAGAAGAGCTCGAAGCTGTCGTCGCGGGTCGACAGCCTCCAGCATCAAGGGCGAAAGACAAGACTGGAAACTACTCGTCACCCACACAAGCGTCTACCCTCAAGATGACCGACCATGCTCGCGAGAAGCGGTCATTCTCAGCTTTGCACGCTAGACTCTCTCTAGAAGCTGGATATGAGCCTCCGCCGCCTGATGTCGACTGGGCCATAGCTTCGTACGAGCTATCTCGTGTCATTATCCCCAGCGATCGCCAGACTTTGAGTTGCACCCATGAGGAACTCAGCACAGAAGCCACCAAAGGTCGACGAGAGCGACAGTTAGCCGTCGGCTTACCCCCTGGTCCAGACGAACGGATGCAACTGCGCGATCGAAAGGCGAAAGCGCCACCTGGTAGCCTCGCTGCTGTACGAGCAGTATCGCGGAACGGCAATCGGCGGACAACCATCGCAGCGGTTAGCGACTTGCCAGATCCGACCATGCAGAATCCAGACTTGCCCGACGGGAGAATGCGTCGAAGATCAAGTGATGCATCGAGCATCTTATCAAGTTTTCAAGGCATGAAGTTGACAGATCAGAGCGCTGTCGACACTGAGTCTTTACCAAAGCCTCCAAATGGACAAGTATCTTCGAGGGCACCCTCGACTGCTCCGCTAAAGCCTGCAAAAGCTGTTGCGGTTAAAAAGACCCGAGCACCACCCACCACAAAGGCACCGGCAAAACCAAAGACTAGCCCCCGGAGAATGAAAACTATTCATTCAGCCGCTACTGGCTTGTCCGAGCCCAAAGCTTCTCCTACCCTTACTCAGGAAAATGCAGTCAAGAGAGAAGCGCCTTCGTCTTCTCAAGAGGACCGCAAAGAAGTGCCGAATACCGATGAAATAGACAATCTAACAAATGGGATGAAAAAGATTACGATCAAATTGAAAATGCCCACAGCAGAAGAGCATGCCGCCAAACAGAACCAAAAGACGGTTGATGATAGACAGAAGAAGCCTCGCGCACCAAGGAAACCGCTAGTACCGAAGAATTTGAAGCTAACGAAAACAGCACCCGCCACAAATCTTGAGTATTCGGCCAATATGCAACCGAAGGTCGTGGAAGACGGCCCTCAGGAGCACTCTGACACCTCGGCCGCAAGCATAGCCGGAATGAGAATCCCCAATACTGTTGCGTATGCCGTCGAAGCTCCTATTCTTAGCCCTAGCGTGGAATCTCCACGTGCAGACCCAGGTATGCGCCTGCCTCGTGCATACATGGCACCTCAGGAAGTCAACGGACAGCAACAATCACAGGAATCAACAAAACCTGCGCCTATTGTGACTGTTCATGTATCCGACACGCAAGCTCCAATATCTGATCTTCCCTTCGTTCTTTCTGAACCGCCATCTTCTCGGCCGCTACAAACAACGACCGAACCTGCTTCATTAGGAGGGCCTTGGTCATCTAGAACGGACAACCCGGCCCAGAGAACAAAGCAGGACCTACCCATATTTAGTTCAAGCTCACCCATTCCGTTTGCTGCCTCCGACAAAGAACCATACTCGCAGGCACTGAGCCAAGAACAAGCTACGAACCAGCAAGCTTCATTTTGGGATATTCCCACAGCGCCACAGCAAAAGTGAGGGTTGTGGAAGGACCTTTGGAGGAGGAATAAGTTCTCTATGCTGATTTCTTGGATTGGGATCAACCGATGTGACCCTGGACATGGAGCCCTTGAGGGTTTCAACCCGGTGACCGCCCTTGCCGGTCTTCCTCTTTCCTTTGTTCCTCTTTTGTTTGAGTTAGAGATACCCCATGCAGCATTGTTTAGGAGCTTGGATGTGTATTTGGGGGGAAGCCACGGTTGTTTTCAGTACTAATCATAGATCCTGAAGTGCGACAACCCATCCGGCATTGGAAAGAGCATGCGGAGATGGAGGTCGGCCGGCAGACCCAATCAGAGGAACGGTGCTCGTTGGATGAAGAAATAATGAGTTGCTTTCAAATCGATCTATTGATGCTCTACCCTCTCCTAAGCCCCCTAACTCAAGTCGTAGACTAAAACACAACAAACTGATATTGTTCAAAAAACACACGAATCTCGCATAAAGTTAGCAAACAGCAAATCTGCAGGCACAAAACTCCACATCCAATGCAATCCTTTCCCTAGCGGAAACTCACATAACCACGCAGGCATCCCTCTTCCTGCGGCCTTCCCTCTTACCCTCCAGCGCGTTCTCCCTGGCCTGCAGCTTGTCACCATACTGCCATAAGAGGTCCCTCTGGTCTCTCTCGTTCAGCAAGGCAAACTTGGCCATGCGCATAATTTCCTCACGTGAGTGGCGGCCCGTCTGGATTATGCGCTCGATGTCGTCGCGTATGTCCCTGTAGGCGCGGCTGGCCGCTTGTTTCTGCCGGGTCGCTGCCTGTGAGGCCTCGGCATAGTACGTGCTTGGGCTGTCGTGTGGCCCCTTGGCTTGCGTGGGCGAGATGCGGCGCGCGGAGGGATACGAGGGTTTGCGGCGTTTGGAGACGCCCGCGCCGTCGTACAGGAGCGGAGATCTGTCGTTGCGTCGCCGCGTTGGGGAGGTGTTTGTTGGGATTCCCGGGACCAGGCTGGGAGGGATACCTGACATATCGTATGCATTGCCATGGCCATTGCCGCGCCCATTGGTTGGGGAGTAGCCGTAGTCTCTTGTAGGACTCCTGCGCTGCTCGCCCGCAGCCGGCATGGCGATTTCCGACAGATCCTGCGCGATGTTGCCCAGCCGGCCAAACATCCTGGGTGTGTCGCTCGAGTATGTGTTTCGGGAATTTCTCTGCCGCTTGATAATCTTGGTGGGGCTGGTGCCTGAATATCGCTTCTGCGGCAGCGTTGTCGGATAGTTGGCGTACGGTGCGAACTCGGAGAAGTCATAGGCGTCCCCACCCTGTTGGTCACTAGTGGGGGAGGTGCCCTTTCGGGATGTTGCGCCACGGGATATTGCTTGAGCTTGAGGTGGTAGCGCCATGGGGAGCATCGGCTGCTGAACGCTGCGTTCCAGCGGATGGATGTTATCTTCCGGATGAGAAGGGATGCCTCGACGGAGGCGCCGCACGCAATCATCGCAATTCCATGGCATTTGATGTCTGACAGCGTTGCCTATCTCTCTGTCGCATGTTCGGGTCGGAAGCGCGCAGCCGCCATCTCTTCTGGTGAAGTTGCCATTGTGGCCACACTGGAAGACGGCCAGATCCCAGATGCACATTTTTGCCGCTGATTGAGGTTGGAGGGGTTTTCCTTGAGACTTCGGTTGAAAATGTCGTGAAGTATATCACTGGCACATAGGAATCTGTGCAAAGGGGAAGAACACCGGGGTATGTTATGATACAGAGAGTGAAAGGATGGCCATACAAACCGTTCTTTGTAAAGTCCGCATGCGGACGATCTGGTCCTTGAAAGAGGAGCCTCGGAGGAATCGAGAATAATGCAATGTCAATTGAGACATAGAGCTTGCATCGTTACGACTCACGCGTTGGAACGAATTTCATTCTTACCTTGCTTTATGTTGTGGTTGGCTGGATGTCGGCTTGTGATATGTTGTATGATTTTTGAAGAGTGACCAGAAGTGACATTCACGTTCGTCCGGTGCTGGATTATGAGACCACAAACTTTCTCCATTAGTCGAGAGTGAATAGGCTCGTTATTAGGAGGTGTCAACAACTCCATGATCGAGGGAGAAATGCCGTTTGGGTGTGGTGGTGTTGCTGGCGGTCGTTGTGGTCGTGGGTGTTTTATTTTTTATCCTCGACGCGACGAGGCTGAGATGCTGTGCCAAGAGATATTGCGCCAAGAGATATTGCGGTTGCCCCTCGAGACAGTTTGTAGCCTTCCGCGTTGGGACACGGCTAGTAGTAATAGTACTATCGTCTGCCATCATGGCCATAGCTTAAGCAGGCCCAACCCCATTCGCTCAGCTTTCCTCCACATGACGAACAATTCATCTGTGCGCTGCATGAACGCCCCTCTCCCCGACTGCATTGTTAGCTGCGCATGGATTCATCTTTGATCTGACCGCCATCTTCAACTGTCATCTCGAGTAAACAAACCTGTCTCTCGACGAGCGATGGAAGAACATCCAGCTCTTACCCAAGTACCGCCCAGCTACCCCGATGGACCTCCTTCGTATGTCAATGGTCCCGCCGAGGAAGACAACATGAGTGTTCCCGGAAACAACACATCGCTTAGGCTGCTCCCGCAGGGTCAGGATGAATACAGATCGTATGTGACAAGCTCCGTTTCCTCTGCGCAATACAATGGACCGCCTTCCCCCAGGCGTAAGCCGCTGCCTAACCCGAAGGTGTCGCACGTTTCATGGGACTCTCCCATAGAGTCCGCCGTCCGAGGCGCCAGACTGCAATCGCCATTGTCTTCATTGATCGCCGAAGCCGAGGAAAAGCTTCGAGGCAGTCGTGAGACAACCGCCTTCGTTGGCCGCGCGCCTACCCTCAAGGCTACTGTGATCCTCAAGAAAAGCTCCCAGACTGACCGAAACCCTCCTAATAGACCATCTCCCTCTATGCGAGGTTCCCCAGAAAGATACCGACCTACGGCGTCAACCGCGTACAGTTCAAGGCCTGGCTCCAGCCTGGGACGACCCCCCTCGATACCTCCGCCTACGGCGAATCCTCGCTCACCCATCAGACCCTCCACCCCTTCTCGAGTTTCTACCGACTGGGGCAGACCTGCTGCCTCGAGCGTCTCATACGAGCCGGCAGATCTTAATGGCAGTCCACGGCCTGGCACACCATCGTCACAGTATGGCGGGAGTCCACGGAGACCGCTGCCTCCTGCACCGCTCTTCTCGGCTAAAGGCGCGGCAACAGAAACGACGATACCCATGCCAGATCCGGAATCAGAAAACGACGTTTTTGTGAACGGTCACGAGATTGTTCCCGACAACGATCCCAGAGCGAGTCTGAAATCGGCCCATTCATACATGACCGACTCGACCTTCACGGAGGAGGACGACGCACCGAGTGAAAAGTTTGATCACTATGGCCCTGCTCCAGAAGGAAGACAGGACCGACGAGGATTGAGGGCAGCTCAGATGACAAAGAAAGAAGTGCGACTCATCAACGGAGAGCTGATTCTCGAGTGCAAGATCCCTACAATTCTCCACAGCTTTTTGCCCAGGAGGGATGAACGAGAATTCACGCACATGCGATATACGGCGGTAACCTGCGACCCAGACGACTTCGTCGTGAAAGGCTACAAGTTGCGCCAGAATATTGGACCCACCATTCGAGAAACGGAGCTTTTCATCTGCGTTACCATGTACAACGAAGGCGAAATCGAGTTTACCAGGACAATGCACGGTATCATGAGGAACATCAGCCACTTCTGCTCGAGGACCAAATCTAGGACTTGGGGCAAAGACGGTTGGCAGAAGATTGTCGTTTGCATCATTGCCGACGGAAGACAGAAGGTCCATCCTCGCACGCTGAATGCTCTGGCAGCCATGGGAGTCTACCAGGATGGGATAGCCAAGAACATCGTCAACCAGAAAGAAGTCACCGCACATGTGTATGAATACACGACTCAAGTCTCACTAGACGAAACCCTCAAATTCAAAGGCGCTGAGAAAGGGATTGTCCCGTGCCAAATGATCTTCTGCCTGAAGGAGAAGAATAAGAAGAAACTCAACTCTCACCGCTGGTTCTTCAATGCTTTCGGCCGAGCCTTGACACCCAATGTTTGCATCCTGCTTGATGTGGGTACCAAACCGGACTCGAAAGCGTTGTATCATCTCTGGAAAGCGTTCGATCAAGATTCGAATGTCGCTGGAGCAGCAGGTGAAATCAAGGCTGACAAAGGCAGGGGATGGCTGGGCTTGCTGAATCCGCTGGTCGCCTCACAAAACTTCGAGTACAAGATGAGTAACATCCTCGATAAGCCACTCGAGTCAGTGTTTGGCTATATTACCGTCTTACCTGGTGCACTCTCAGCATACCGATACTACGCCCTTCAAAATGACCCGAGTGGCTATGGTCCTCTCAGCCAGTACTTTAAGGGGGAAACCCTGCATGGCCGTGACGCTGATGTCTTCACCGCTAATATGTATCTTGCTGAAGACCGAATTCTCTGCTGGGAGCTTGTCGCGAAACGTGGTGAACAGTGGGTTTTGAAATTTGTCAAGAGCGCTTATGGAGAAACTGATGTGCCTGGTAAGAGGAAAAGAAACAGACAAGTTGAGGGAGTCTGTGCTGACCAACTGCAGATGCTGTCCCAGAGTTTATCTCCCAACGACGACGCTGGCTCAATGGCGCTTTCTTCGCGGCAGTGTACTCTTTGGTCCACTTTAAACAAATTTGGCACACCGACCACACTTTGACTCGAAAGATCTTGCTGCATATTGAATTCTTCTATCAGCTCATCTCGCTGATATTCACCTTCTTCTCCCTCGCAAACTTCTACCTCACCTTCTACTTCATTGCCGGCTCCTTAGCAGATCCTCAGATCGATCCTTTTGGTCATAACATCGGGAAATACATCTTTGTCATCCTCCGCTATATTACTGTGCTGTTGATCTGTCTGCAATTCATCCTCAGTATGGGTAACCGACCGCAGGGGGCGAAGAAACTATTCACCGGCACCATGGTCACATATTCGATCATCATGGCATACACTACCTTTGCATCTCTCTACATTGTCATCAAGCAACTCACAACGCACGCGGTGGAAAAGACGGACCCAGAAAATCCGTACAAGCTGGGCAACAACATCTTTACCAACCTCATTGTCAGCACGGTCAGCACCGTGGGCCTTTACTTCCTCATGTCATTTTTGTACCTGGATCCGTGGCACATGTTCACCAGCTCCGCGCAATACTTTGCCCTGTTGCCTTCTTACATTTGCACTTTGCAAGTGTATGCGTTCTGCAACACCCACGACGTCACTTGGGGTACCAAGGGTGACAATGTAATGCATACCGACCTCGGGACTGCCAAAGCAGTCGGATCTGGTGGAAACACTGTCGAAGTGGAAATGCCCTCTGAACAACTCGACATCGATTCCGGGTACGATGTCGCACTTCGCAACTTGCGGGACAGAGTCGAGGTACCCAAACAGCCCGTCAGCGAGTCCCAGTTGCAGGAAGACTACTACAAGTCCGTCCGTACGTACATGGTCGCGGTGTGGATGGTTTGCAATGCCATTCTCGCCATGGCCGTTTCCGAGGCTTACCCTGTGGGCAGCCACATTAGCGACAATGTCTACTTGAAACTCCTTTTGTGGTCCGTCGCCGCCGTCGCACTTTTCCGTGCCATTGGCTCATCGGCATTTGGAATCATCAACCTCATCTCGGCAATTGTGGAGGGGAGGTTACAGGCCAAGTTTGAGAAGATCTTTGGTGGCGGAGACGAGAACGGTCGACATAGGACAGGGTTGGGAAGCGGAATCAGTGAGAGCGGCAAGACAGGGTTGAGTGGTGGGAGTAAAGGGAGTGCCACAGGAATCAGTTTGAGTGAAGTGACGAGCAAGATCTCTGAGAAGTTCAGTTGGATGAGCAGAAGGTAATGATGTCCGGGTGTTTATGGGTCGGAAACAAACGATTGGATGAGTTTTGAAACGAGTTGGGCGCGTTATGGTTTATGTATGACAATGGACTTGTATGATTTGTTTTCTGAGGTTTTGGAGGGGGAGGGGAGAATAATGCATCGCATGCTTGGAAAGAAGAGAAAATGTTCGGATACTGTCGGTTTGAATTTTGCTGCCCTGTAAAACACTAGAAAGAAGAAAAACATGAGGATTTAGGATCAATAGTGATAGAAGACTTAAGAGTTGTTGACTTGTCGTCGGCGGCGGCGGCAGAAGCAGCAACAACAGCGGTAGCAGCCTGGAAATCAGGTCCTCAATCGAGGTACCATACGGACGACGCCATCTACATAGGGATCAGGAACAGAGTGCCAAGCGAGAAGGACAATACGCCACATCATGGCCTGTATGAACTTACTTGGTCGTGTTCTTTGGTCCCCCCTGGGGCCAGGAAATATTACGTATATAGGTAGACCTCACCGGGTTCAAGTTTCAACGAAGGGCTCAGGAAAAGGAAAGTACGGCGGATATGGACGGGCGCAGAGTGGCAGAGGGATATTATATTGTTTTGGATTGGACCAGATTGGATGGATTGGAGTCTATCTAACTTGATACCCGCGCACGAGTATTAAGGTCCATACCTATGTCCGTAACCTTTCACTTAGCATGATAAGATGGCCTGACTTGCTTTCCAACCAACCCTATCCTGCCCTGATCCCAAACCCATCCGGAGAAAAGACACCGCTCTCGAGGGTGAGATAGTATCGGATCCGAGGTACCTGTGTTGATATCAGAATGCCTCACCGTTTCCATTTTTGCAACAAAATTTTTCCTTTTTCCCTTGTTTTGCGCTTCACTCTCTGGATCGGAGACGGTCTCGCCGCCGGGGAGAAGGTATGTCTAATTGCTCCAGAGAGAATTTTTGTTGGAATTTTCCGAATTTTTTTGGGGTGTCGAGGGAAGGGGAGGCTTTGAGGGGGAAGAGAGAAAGGAAAAGGGGAAGAGAGAGGGGGTTGGGAGTGATTGATCTAAGCAGAAAAGCCACGGTAGAACCATGTGTTAAAGGGATCACTTACCTTCCACTTACCTCTTTGTGGGCTTTGGTTCGCAAACGGTCCGAGCGACGAAGCGGGGCAGATGCCTTTTCAACGGGTGCCTCTGGTCGTGCTTGAGCAGCGAAAGGGCCAGGATGTCCGGTTCCTTGATCCGCAGGAGTCGGGAGAGCGTCAGCTGCGAGATCCTGAGGGACCGGACCTGGAGCAGGTTGGGCCAGCAGTTCGGAGTACCCGTACATATCAGCCATGGAGTTCAGTTGTACCTCCTCGGCAGCTCTAGGATAGAACAATTGGTGGCCATTGTTGTCTAGCATATCAGGAGGCATAGGCGACCATATGTCCACTTCTGTGGGAACCGAAAACCAGAAGTCGCCATCAAATGTGTTGAGACGATCCAGACCTTGAACAGCCTGTGACTGGTTTAGTTCTGGAGCGAACTCGGTTGGTGTATCGGCAAGGAAATCCATACCGGCGAGGCCAGAGTTCTCGGCGGAGATCCTCTCCAGGAAGTCATAGGTGTGGACGCTCTCGAGGAATTCAAGGGTGTTGGCATCGAGCTCTTCGAGGGAGATTTGCATCTGGCTAGGCGCAGCATCACTAGCTAAATCAGAATCGGCGAAGACGCTGGCTTCCAAGTGACCCTCAAGTCGATATTCAGCACCGGGGAATGCGGCGTTCGAGTTGCCCAATACACCGGCAGGGTGATCGAGATCCGTTCTAGTCACGGGAATATGGTAGTCGGTGTCGAGAAGAGGTGGCGAGGCAGGTTGTAGTTCATCAGGAATCAGATCGGAGTACATGCCGTCTGGACGAATCGTCGGCAAGAACGGGTCCAGAGGGTTGACGGTCAGATGCAGACGATTCTGCTCGTAGAGTTCCTCAAGTGAGCTTGAAGTGGAAAATTCGGACAGGGTATCAGAGTCGAGAAAGGACCAGCCTTCGAGTGGTGAATGTGGGTTTGACCCTTCAGATTGGGACGCCATGGTTGAATAGGGGTGATCGCCAAATCTACTTCAGTTCTGGATGTGGTTTCTGAACGAAAGCAAACAAGCGGGCGACCGAGAAAACCTTTCAACGGCGCTGATGATTGAGTTAGAAGGATGGAGAGCCAGCAAACCACAGATGCGCATACTCTGGCCCTTCTTATACCTTTCGAGCTCCGCTAGCAAGAGCGACCTTTGGTGAAGCAACAACGGTTTGTCGAGGACAAGGCAGTTTGTTGCTTACCTAGTGGTGAAAGATGAACATTCCCCATTCCCTTTGTGAAACCTTGTAACTCGACCTTTTTCAGTTTCGCACAAGTAGCAACTTAACTCTAGACAACGCAAATCGTCACCAGCAGTCTTTGTTTTCTTTGTCCAGCCCAAGATACGGTGCCTTGTCCGCATATCAGAAACCGAGGATTAGACGCGAATCTCGAGGCAGCGGCAACGATGAGGCAGCCCTAAGGGCGGCACGCATTGCCCATCATTCTATATCTCTGTCGACGTTTTGACTTGTTGGTTGCTTTTCTTCAACAACATACCAGGACTGCTCGTGGATCGAAATACAAGATGGGTTCCACCGCTGGCACTATTGGCACCGTTATGCTCGTGATCATCATTCTGATCCTATTTATCTCCACCATAGGATGTCTCCGTCGCAACCAGGAGATCTCTTCGGGCAGAGTGTATCGTCGAAAGTACAGCGAGCGTTGGCCAGCCGAGTACCATGGCACGAGTCAATACCATGACACGTATCAACCAGCTCGAGCAAACTTAGTCAACGGTAAGACGGCTAGAGAGAGAGGAGAGGTCGATCCTTGGGAACGAGACGTGTCGATGCACTCGATCAAGCCAGCCCGCGTGTGCCACGGCCAGGATGAGGCTCCCTTCACGTCGCGCTTCGATACCTGGATCTAAGCGTAGTAGAGTGCAATGATATTGGTCAAGTGAGGGAGAGAGCATGGGGCGATTGGAGCACGAGAAGTTCAGTCGAGGTGGGGATAGGTACTGGCTAGGGAGTAGTGGTGGACGAATGTACGATGGATTGTCTCGCCGTCTACCAAGTAACGAGTACTGTATTTGTAGACGTAGCGAGCTGAGCGAGGCAGCTCGCGCTCGGCAGGTCTCGAAGTGTTTCACCTGTCACGTGTGCTTGGCGTATGTCATTTTTTTCTCTCGGAGATATCGCGCGGATATAAGATCAGCTCGGCCGATACAATGACCGAGAATTGGTTCTAAGCTTGCAAGGTTCGTATGTACGTCGATTGTTGCATAGTCGCAATGGGCCATCAATGCCTCGTGAGGCCCGCAGCGCCGACATTTGGCGACCTCTTCTGAAAGCTCCTTCACACAGCTCGATGTATTTCGATGATTTCTGCCTGCTCTTCAATGTGTCACGAAAATTGATGGATATCAAAAGCCGTGTATGATATTCTGAATCGTCGCCACAGTTCTTCCTCCATGAGCAGACCGCCGTCTTTCAAGTATAATTTTTTCGAGTTGCACCGCAATATTGTCCTCCGGACAGGATAACAGTACATCTTCTATCCTGGCTAGGCTCTATACAAGTTAACACGATTCCAATATCGCTGTGCGAACTTCGACCAATCAACTCCAGAGCTTTTGAGTCAGGGCCGAGACGGAGCAGCCATCAAAGTGCCTTCTGCTCGTCAAGCTCGCTTTATCCGACCCTCGGTGTTAACACATCCGTCGCTCAAAACTTGACCCCAACAGCGATGGGTCCCAAACGCCGTCGCCTGGCACTCTCCTGCGTGGCTTGTAGGCGGAGGAAAGTGAAGTGCGACAGGACCTATCCGACCTGCGTTCGCTGTCAGAAGGGTGGTGTGAGTTGTGACTATGTCCCTTATACCAAGCAGGACAATGCCCTCCCCACTCCATCCGAGGAGAGTCCACAGCTTCGCAGGGAGACTTCGGCTACGTCTTGGACCGGTGAGTTCTCTAATGTATTTTTTTTTTGTTTCAAGCGACCTGCGGATCGCTGTCCTTTGTGCCCGCGCTACCGAACTCCCTGATGTCTGCCATTATATTGGGTAATGGTGGCACCTCATCTTTATTGATAACTTTTGCGATCAAATTTGTTCTTCTTCGGCTCATGATTCGAGCAGGGGCTAATAAACCAAAATCACCTAGAACATGTCGACGTTTGGCACGCCCGGTCAAAGGAGCACGAGAATGCCCGAGCCAACGAGGATAGTCAACACCCCAGCACCTCGCAACCTCGCACTCAAACAAAGTCTTTACGAGAGCTTCAGGACCGAGTACACGAACTGGAGACTCATGTCAGGGCGGCGGGGACCCGCCCCATCCCCCCAGCAGTGTATCTCGGTCTCGGTCATGGCACCGGTCCAGGGGTGTGCACCGGCAAGGGTGCGCTACACGACCACGAACGAGCCTTGCTCCGTGGCAAAGGCTTCAAAACGCAATATTTCGGTCCAAGTCATGGAGCTAATTTGCTTCTTCAATTCGAGGAACTTTCTCGCTTCGTCAAGGATATCCTGCAGCGACTGCCGACACTCAAAAAATCGAGAAACATCTGGAAACAACAACGCCGAGATCTCAACACCGGCCTGATTCTTCCAGAGTTCGATACCTTGATATCATTGGTTCCGGAACAGAACCGCGCAGATGCTCTAGTGCAAGAATATTTCGAAACCTTGGAGACGACGTACCGTGTTCTGCATGCCCCGATATTCTTTCGCAAGTACAAGGAGTTTTGGGCATCCTCCGGAGGCTCTTCACCGGATTTTCTTGTGCAACTCCTTCTGGTGTGCGCCAGCACGAACTGCTCCGTGGCGGGTGCATCAGGATTCGTTGGTCGGAGCACTGTCGGCCGTGATACAGCGATCAAATGGATCGAAGTCTGTGAGAATTGGCTAGATCTGCAAAGCCAGAAGCACATGACTTTGGAGGTTTTTCAGGTCCGCGTTCTTCTGGTAATTGCCAAGAAGTTAAACTGCGTCAAGGTCAAGCGAGAGTGGACTGTTTCGGGGCACCTGCTACGAGAAGCCATGTCTTCTGGGCTGCATCGAGAGCCAACGTTCTTGAGCAACACCATCTCGGTCTTCGATCAAGAGATGCGCAGGAGGCTTTGGTTCACGATACTTGAACTTGATATTCAAAACAGCATCGATCGCGGTATGGCAGCGAGCGTCGGGCCATTTGATTGGGACACTTTGCCACCACTGAACCTCCACGATGAAGACTTTGACGAATCGAGCGAAAAAATGCCCGCCGCCAGGCCAATGACGGAATTCACGCGTACATCATTCCTCTGCCTTGCCCATCAACATTTACCACTCCGTCTGGAAATACTATCCAGGATCAACAGCATTCGTGTCTGCCTTGAAAGCGACGCTGCCATCGAGCTGGATCAAAAGATCCGGCAGACCTTAGACAGCCTCCCGAAATGGTCGAATCACGCTGCAAATGCTATATCGGAACCTCTCTCGGAGCTACTGCTTTATGAAATTCTATTGCTAATTCACCAGCCGTTTGCCACACAGCCGGACGCGCAGGCACGACACTTCTATTCGCGAGCAGCTCGGCGGAATGCAGCACTGTCGACCATGAGAATATTTACTGAGTTGCGACCGGGCAGTAGGAAGACTTACCTTAATCTTCGGCATGATTTGTTCCGAGCTTGCCTAGCAGCTTGCCATGATCTCGTCGGCCCAGCACGTTCGAAAGAGGACTTGTTGCAGGATCGGAGCTTTGCTGTGAATTTGATCGAGCAGGGTGTCAATCTGATGGAAGAACGGATTAAGAGTATCGGGCAAGGATTCCATACATACTGGCTCACTTGCAGCGCACTCGGGCTGCTGCGTTCAAAACTATCCCCAGGGTCACCAGCAGACCGGTTTGCACAAGAGACAGCTGACCGGGTCGCCAATCTCCAGGGCTACATGATGTCGCACCAGATTCCACCTGTCGGCAGCTGCAACGGCGTGGAAGACGTGACAATGAGCACCGCCAACACACTGGTGGGAATGAGTGCTCACCCTACACCAGGTCAGCCTCTACCGGAGCTGGATCCGTTTGTGACAACGACCGCAGACCCATTCAACACCTTTCCTGAGACCTTGTTTGACTTTGATATTACAGATCTCTGGAACATGGGAGGGATCGGTGGGGGCACGCACTATTGATGAGGAGCCATTGCTTGATGAGCAGATAGAAATAACAACGCATCTCCGAAGAGCAGATTGAATCCCTTTGTTGCATACCTAGTATTGCTGCTTTGCAGCCTTGCACAGCCTTGCACATCCTGGGAATTTGCCTTGTCGGAATGCCAAGACCTTCCATCGGCTTACTTTCCCTATTCAGTATAGCCGATTCTTAGCGGCGGTTGGGAGCCTTTGCCTTCGCCCTCCCTGTATTTTTAAAATTTCACCCTTCGCCCCTTCTTCTTCAACACAATAATCTCTTCTCACCCTTCGCTCACTCTCACTTTCTTCTCTCTCATACCCTTCCTCACCCTCTTACTTTGTCTACACAAAGAGTCCGCTTTATCCAGTCCATTCTTGTCCCCTTTCCCTATCATTGTCGATTACTACCAACAGTTCACGGATTTCGGCGCCCATCATGTCTTACGGTGGCTACGGATCATCAAAAGATGGCGGTTATTCTAATGGGTACGTGAATATCGTTCGAATCTATTATTTCCTGCGTCCCAACTGTCTTGCGCTCTCCAGGACGCAGGACAGGCTGGCGCAAGCTGTTTTTCCGTTGTTCGAACCTGTGACTAACAACTTCGCAGTTATGGTGGCGGCCACAGTCATTCTAATGGCTACACTAACGGCTACGGCGGATCCAACGGATACTCTGGCGGAGGCGGTGACAAGATGTCCAACCTGGGCGCAGGCTTGAAACAACAGAACTGGGATTTGAACAACCTACCAAAGTTCGAAAAATCATTCTACAAGGAGGACCCCACAGTTACAGCCAGGTCACAGCGCGATGTCGATGAATTCCGCAAGAAGAATGAGATAACAGTTCAAGGCCGCAATGTTCCCCGACCAGTCGAGACTTTTGACGAGGCCGGATTCCCTAGCTATGTCATGTCGGAAGTCAAGGCTCAAGGTTTCACCAAACCCACTCCAATTCAATCCCAAGGTTGGCCTATGGCTCTCTCTGGTCGTGATGTTGTTGGTATTGCAGAAACCGGGTCTGGCAAGACCTTGACCTACTGCCTCCCCGCTATCGTGCACATCAACGCTCAACCGCTCCTCGCTCCCGGTGACGGCCCCATCGTCCTTGTTCTTGCCCCGACACGAGAACTCGCCGTCCAAATCCAACAAGAAATCACAAAGTTTGGCAAATCTTCCCGCATTAGGAACACTTGTGTCTATGGTGGCGTTCCCAAGGGTGGTCAGATCCGCGACCTTACTAGGGGCGTGGAAGTCTGCATCGCCACTCCTGGCCGTCTCATTGACATGCTGGAGTCTGGGAAGACCAATCTGCGTCGTGTCACTTACTTAGTTCTCGACGAAGCAGATCGCATGCTTGATATGGGCTTCGAGCCTCAAATCCGCAAGATTATCGGCCAGATTCGACCGGACCGACAAACCTGCATGTGGTCTGCAACATGGCCCAAGGAAGTTCGACAACTGGCTTCCGATTATCTCAACGATTTCATTCAGGCCAACATTGGCTCCATGGATTTGTCAGCAAATCACCGCATTACTCAAATCGTCGAAGTTGTGTCCGAATTCGAAAAGAGAGATCGCATGATCAAGCACCTTGAGCAGATCATGGAAGACCGCAATAACAAAGTCCTCATCTTCACAGGCACCAAGCGCGTCGCCGATGACATCACTCGATTCCTGCGTCAAGACGGATGGCCAGCACTCTGTGAGTTTACTCCTTATTCCCCATTTTTCTTGGACATAAGCTAACAGCAAACAGCCATTCACGGCGACAAGCAGCAGAATGAACGTGACTGGGTCCTGAACGAATTCAAAACTGGCAAGAGCCCAATCATGGTCGCTACGGATGTCGCATCCCGTGGTATCGGTATGAACAAACAGCAACCCCCCTAACCCCACCCTTTTTTCCCTATTGTATTTTGTCTTTTGCATTTCTTACCATTGCCGTCGTGTGGAATGGTGCCGCACTCTCTTTCCGCTTGTTACGCTTTTGCATTGCGTAACTTGTCCAGGCTTTTGTGTTCTCCTCGGTCCTTCTTCCGGAAATCCTGGAATCTTTTGCAGTTTGCCGGGACTCTGCTCCCTGACTTCCACATCTGCTTGTCCGACACGAGTAGGTTGTGGGACACGTTTACTTGACCAGATCAAACTGCAAATCCAGGATCTCTCACTTCCAAGGACCGTAGACGCTTGCCGATTTCCCGGACATGGACATTTGCCACCCAAAGGATAATGCTCCGAGCTTCAGAGAGTGACATGCACCTCCGCTCACACGACCACATATGGTCCCCAGCGCCTCGTAAGAACCACCAATGACCGAGTTGCTAACCTATACTTGAAGATGTTCGAGATATCACTCACGTGTTGAACTATGACTACCCCAACAACTCTGAGGATTACGTTCACCGAATCGGCAGAACAGGCCGAGCTGGCAGGAAAGGCACCGCCATTACGCTTTTCACCACAGATAGTACGTCTCTATCCCCTCCGTCAATTTTGTAAAGTTCTAACCATTTTCACAGATGCCAAGCAAGCTCGTGATCTAGTTTCTGTCCTACAAGAGTCCAAACAAAGTATCGAGCCTCGTCTTGCCGAAATGGCACGCTATTCCGGAGGCGGTGGCGGCGGCGGCCGTGGATATGGTCGCGGTGGCCACCGCGGAGGCCGTGGCGGCTTCACTGCATCCAATGCTGCACCCCTTGGCCGGTCCAGGTGGTAAAGATGATCGAACAAAAGATCGCTCGACGAGCATACCAACAACGGTGGGGGACGGTCGAAGTCTGTTCTCCGCGTCGCAAGTCTTGTCACACAAGCACATTCCTTCAGAGTTCAAAGAACCGATAGACTTGTTTTGTGCATTACTGCCTTGTCGGGGCTCAGGCGTACAAGGATGGCAAAGATAGATTGCTTGTTTTTTTTTTCTCGTCGTGAGTTGGGGGGGCCAACCCTTTCTCCCCCCTTGGCAGTAGGGTTTATGCGTTCATGGATGTTTCAGGGTGGCGAGAGCAGACGGACTCCTCGCCGAAGAAGATTTGAGCAAAATGGTGATAGAGCTGGTGTCTATGACGATTCACATGCCTCATTCGATATCTTGATGAGAGACAGACATGTGATATGGAAGACATGATCTCAGCACGAGCGTGCAGCATCGTGATGATTGGTCGAAGAGGCAATAGACATAGACTACTTGCTACATAGCTTGAGTGTACAATCAGAGACATGAGTTGCCTATTCAGAGATTCCGCATATCTGTATGTTTAGTATTCGTAGATCGACGACAATGAAATGCACTGAGAGGTGTTTGTCATCTTTTGAAACCCCAGAATATGTTGCTGCGAGCGGAGAATGGACTTACAGGGCGGAATAAATACTGAGCCGCCAGGCATTTGGTAGATAGTATAACACCTATGTATGTAGACAGATGCCAACGACCGGCTCGACCCATACCACATCTGCCTTTCACGCAGCCTTGCAGCCTTGCAGCCTTGCATAGGCAAGTGAGGGAGTAAAACAGTAAGAGAGGAATGGGTGGGGAGGGAAAGGACGGAGACAAGACAGACAGATAGACAGAAGGATGTTTCCTTGCAAGGCCCCAGGTCTAGTTTGAAAGGTCCCAGGAGTTCAGAGATGAGACTGTGAAGCAATCACAGCAGCCCGAATACAACAAGAATAAAACGAAAAGGCTTGTTCACCTACCTGTCTGTCTGTGTGCTGTTGACACATTGCGCGTGGGCTATAATTTTAGCCTGGCTGCTCAAGCTGCGTGTCGCGAGTGTCAAAGTTTGATTCACACCAATTTTGAGGTGCTCTCTGCCTCCCCCTCCTCTCTCTTGCATCTGACCTTCCCCAGAAAGCTCTCTCAGCACTCTTGACGAATGGAATTGACAGTAGCAAGAATGTGGATGGTCGTCCCGGACGCTCCGCCATGGATTTTGTTATTCATAGACAGTGTTGGATAAGGTTGCATGTCTGTCGCAGGCGCAGTATTAATGGGATGGATAATCGGCGGGTATTGGTGGGTGTTTTGTTCTCGGACGACTCACTAGTTGGTCTTGAACCTGTGTCTGTCGTTGACGGTTGGGACCTTCAACTTGTCTGTACGGAATCAAGGGGTTTGCAGGTTCGCTGCTGGAGTCAGTCCTGTCTGCTCTTGCGGCGCCAAACCTCGTCTCCTTCATCCCCATAAGCATAGGTCAACCGGAGGTCCCTGCAATGTGATTTTGATGGTGGTGTTGATATGTACATAGGTCGGTGGTGGATATTCTGGCTGTTTCCGTGCCTCATTGCCAGGGACTCCCACGGGGGGTCCAGCCCAGGCAGCCAGTCCCGCTCGCAGAGACGACACATTACATTCAGCTGAAGAAGGCGAGGGAACGGATTGCTCCGAAGGGGATGTGCGCTGTCATATTAATGGCTCGGTCGGGGCGTGTAGTGAGGTACATACGAAACAGAGCGTGCTGAGGACCTTGGGATAGATCGTATCTTGGGGACACCAAAGCAGAGGGCACTCTGCAGGAGGCATGATGAAAACAACATTTTGTCCCTCCCTACCTACCTCGGAATCCTTAGCCATTCCCCCTGGTCAGGTGAAGTGCCCAGTGTGTGCAAAGCTACCGCCGCGCCTGGAAACTGCGACGGCAGACGCACTTTTCATCCAGTGCATTGAATCTGTACCATATGGTGCTTCTAACGGGAGCCATGTGCAACTGCCGGTCTGTTCGGCGGCTTGAGAGGTTGGCATCAGGCAGGAAATATTCTCCATGCCTAGAAATCAACCATTGACTCCGTAATCTTAAGGGGCTCCCCCTTACCTCCTACTGCTCCCTTTAAAGTCGCAGCCAAGACATGGTCAGAACATCACCGGGGTTAGTTGTGGGCCGTTCGTTTTGTTCGGGCATCAGAAATCATGTCCCCTTGGTGCCTGCTCTTTTCGCAGACGACCAGCCCAGAGTCGAGGCCTTGTCGGCTCCCCACAATGCCGACTGACAGTTCGTGAAGCT